CTTGGTGTCGTCTGCAAACTTACTTATGTCATAGTATGTAAAAGGCCACAGCTCATTGTGAAAACTATTGTTGATCTCGGTAAGAGAGGTATATCTCAGTCAAGGAATGTCAGATAAAGCAAAAGATTTTTGGTATACTCTGGTAAGCAGAGAATATGGATACTTGGCATAATTTACAGTTGTAAATTCCAATTGTACATTCCCATTCATTGCTGAGAACTCACAGTATAGGTGTGAGTACTGTGCTCATTTGAGTTTCACTTAGCTGAAATTCTTCAAATTGATGTATGTATGTGTGTATATATATACATATTTGTATATATATACATGCATACACCAGAGCAAAAAAAGAACTATTAAGATCATTTGATTATGCTTCCTACATAATACAAAGCATAGGACTTTCCTCAGCATTCACTGCAACTAGGCCAACCACACCTTCAAGTTCAGTCAAAGAGTAGTTTCCCTCATCCAATGGTATAAAACAATGAAAAAGAAAAGGAATACATTAATATATGAGATTCATGATTAATTCTCTATTTATTTTTACTTATCCTCTATTAGAACTTAAGAGGTCTGAGAAAATATTTTCTTCCTTATTAAATTCCAAGAGAGCTTATTTTAATATTATCATAGTACTACTCTACCTAGACAGCAGTTCTGCAGAGGCAGCGGCACTCCCAGTGAGGCACTGTTTGATGAAGCTTTTAGATGAGAAAACTTGAAACCAAGTAAGAGAAATGGTTTGGTTTTTTCAGAGGTAAGTACTTTCAATTTTAAAGCATCAATAGTGTATACAGAAATATTTCCATTGGGGAAGATTAAATAACTTTTAAAAACTTCAAGTCTGTTCTTCATTTCCCTGAGAATTCATACTCATATCTTGAAGGTAAAACCATTAAGGTAGAATCAATTCATTTTCAGGAATGTTCTGAAAGAGTGACAATAATGATAGGAGAATACAACATTGTAACCTAAGATATGTTTTCTGACCATATATATCAACACAGAAAAAGCTAAAATGAAAAAATACATCCTCTCTTCCAATAGGGCAGCCTAAAATAACTTACTAGCCTTATTTTTACACTTGTTGCTTCATGTAATTCCATAGGCATTGCATTAAATCTCTCAATAGCATTACAAGTAAAATCAGAGGTTCATCTGGGGGACATATATGTATCTCAGTCAAAAATCACAAACTTCAATCACAGTTTCAGAGTAGCTAGACTACTTTCTGCTAATGTATTAATGGAGCGGAGGGAGCATTTTGGCTCGTCAAAAGTAGGCATCCACTTCAGGATGAGCTCCAGATGCCACTGACTCCGTTCACAACACTGTGAGATTAGCCACCAGTTCATGTATGCATACATTTTATGGACAACTAAATTTTAGTGTCCGCATATGAAGCTGGATCCCACCTCTTCTCTCCATCTTTTCTCTTACAAGAAAGATACCATGGAAGATTACAGTGAATTACTCCAACATTACAAGATCTTTTAGTCCTGTTTATCAGATATTAACCGAATCACAAATTTTGTATCATAATTGCCTTTAATATATCTCTTCTTTCATATGTATCTTTGCTGTCGTTGCAGAGGAGATAAAGATACTTTGCTCAGATTTGTTTCTAAGAGGCTTGATTTCTGTGGGTCTCTCAGCTTCAGAACTTCTGCTTCCCTGGTGCTTTGAAAAAGTCATTGAAATCTTGCTCTCTTTTTAACTACCTTTCTTCCTCTATCCATTTGTATAGCATCGTGCTAAATGCCTACTTTATCAGCTACAACCACAGAACAAAATTATTCCAGAAGCACACACTGAAAAGGAATATCTGGGGGGGGAAAAAATCCCTTCCAATCTATTACCTTTTTATTGTTGCTTATGTGTGATTCTGAGCTTTTCTCAGTTTCCTTTTTGACAGCTTCCTGAAGATCAGAGGCTTGTTGTATATATGTTAATGCTGCCAGTATCTCATCTTCTAACAATATTACATCTTCATAGGAAATTGGCCATCCCAAATTCTCTAACGCCTGCAGCAAAGCTTCTTTATGATGCATATATTGAACTGGGCCATCCTCTTTAAATCTTAAAAAAAAATATTTAAAAAAAAATTGTAGTCACAAGTAGGAGAAATTTTAATTTTGGCAGTACTTTACAAACAGAATCACAAAGTGTAAAGGCAGAATAAAACATCAGATTCATCCAATCTATCTTCTGTATGCCACAAGTTTTTGTGTTTCATCCAGCTACTGTTGTGTTTAGTCAAACAATCACATCTGGCTTAACCATATCTCATAGAAAGACATCTACAGAGCAATTCAAGTGGCTGAGCATAGATATCTGGTGCCATTTTAGATGTCCTAGAATATGTGAGGCATCAATAAAGAACTTGCAGATACGACTGAGAAATTATGGAAATCCGTGGCCCTTCTGGAGCAGCAGCTAGGGTGAAGTGGCAAGCATCTAGACAATCTAAAATGGCACCAGACACCTATTAGGTCCTGATTTGCCACATCAGTCTTGACTGATCACATAAAAAAGAGACAATCTCCTGCTGTTTATTCCTCTGTCAGTCCTGTACTGCCCAATTTCACTCAGTGATCAGGAGTTTGCTTCCATCCATGGTTCAGATTATGTCAATGTCCACTAGACTAAAGAGCACTGAAGGTACTTATAAACCAGAAGGTGAATGAGATACAGTCATCTTGTTGATAAAAAACAACAAACTGAACCCTCCAAATCCAGAACAGGTAGAATTCTTTAAACACCAGAATGGGATTTTAGTTCTCCTTATTGATAATAGAACTGTGTATTTTTCGCTCATTAGCTTAAGTCATCTTACAAGCATTCTAGTTTTCATTCCCATTTTTCTGCCTAGGAATATTTCACGCCCATTCAGTTTTCATTACTTAATCTTCACTTAATTCTCTGAAGCAAACAGACGTTAACTTCACTGATGCCAGTCCTGTTTATACAGTCACTAGTTTTCTAAATCAATATACAGAAATAAGCTGGTTAAAGTAGTACAAACTTCCAGTGTGATATACAGTTCCAGCACATGCTGTAAAGGTGCTTATTATACCTTTACAAACCAGCCACTGAAGTGCTCTTTACCAGATGAGACAATATTTACCTTGATGCCAAAGGCAATGACAAGCTGCCCTCCCAAAGCCCTGCCACCTGACACATTAAGAATAGACCAGCACCATTCAAATGGAATGCAAGTCCTTTCCTATAAAAATAACCAGCACTGCAAGAAGGAGGTCCAGAATTTAATATTACTCCATATCACATATACATTTTTGAAAGTAAGGTATAGTTATGAAATATTTGAAAATAAAACCAGTTGGTTACAGAAATAGTGATAAAAAAGTATCAAATATTTATGACCAGCCTTTCAGAGATAAGTTAGAAAACTAAAAGGTGATAGCTTACTTGTCTCTTTCCTCCTGAGATAGTGCTCTCCAAATAACTACGTTTAGGCGCCTATTAAAGGAAGCAAAGCAGTTTTTGAGGGAATGCAGTTCCTTGTGCATCTGATCATCTCAAAACTAGCAAATAAACACAGTTTCTTAAGATATCTGCACTGATTTGTATTCCAGGAGCACTGTATCATCAAATGTTTATTACTCAGCTATGAAATTATCAACTGCAAGAGAAGATGGGAAAACAGCATCTTCCATCAAGTAGCAACATGACTATTTCAGGGTCATAGAAGGATTAACGGCAATCACTGCTGCTTCCTGCCAGGATTTTCTATGGATGGTTCTCTTCAGCACCAGCAAGCTAAATCAAATAACAAAACTGATTAAATGCCAGTTAAGCTAAGCACAGTTCCTCCAATTAAACAGTTTCAGAAAACTGTAGCCTGAAGACACATGGAGAGCAATGCTAATTTTTTTTTTCTGCTAAGATAACCCCTCAGTTGTGCATTCAGGTTTCTACTTCATTAAACTCTGGCAGTAAAGAAAAACTACTGACAGGAAAACGGAAGTGATTATCCCAAAGCAATGCAGTTCTGAGATCTTCTAAAAGCACCACTAAACTTTCTGCTTTTGCTTTGTAGATATAAATTATAAACTCTTATTAGGTCATCTAGCTTACAGTTTTCTCTATTAACATCTCAAACAATTAAGCCATTACTCAATTACTTCATTTTCTACTATAGAAATAAACCTCTACCGATGATCCTAATTGCTGTAATTACAGAAAAAATCCCAAACTTCTTTTGGAAATACAAGAACAAATTCATTGTTAGGAAGAATTCAGATTGTAACCATTAGACTTTTAACAGTGTGCTGGTTTTGGGTGGGATAGAGTTAATTTTCTTCACAGTAGCTAGTATGGGGCTATGTTTTGGATTTGTGCTGGAAACACAGTGTCGATAACACAGGGACGTTTTAGTCATTGCTGAGCAGTGCTTACTGCAGTGCTTACACAGAGTCAAGGCCTTTTCTGCATCTCACCCTACCCCACCAGCGAGTGGGCTGGAGGTGCACAAGGAGCTGGGAGGGGACACAGCCGGGACAGCTGACCCCAGCTGACCAAAGGGCTATTCCATACCATACGACGTCATGCTCAGCGTACAAAGCTGGGGGAAGAAGAAGGAAGGGGGGACGTTCGGAGTGATGGCGTTTGTCTTCCCAAGTAACCGTTACGCGTGATGGAGCCCTGCTTTCCTGGAGATGGCTGAACACCTGCCTGCCGATGGGAAGTAGGGAATGAATTCCTTGTTTTGCTTTGCTTGCGTGCACGGCTTTTGCTTTACCTATGAAACTGTCTTTATCTCAACCCACGAGTTTTCTCACTTTTACCCTTCTGATTCTCTCCCCCATCCCACCGGGGGGGAGTGAGTGAGCAGCTGTGTTGGGCTTAGTTGCTGGCTGGGGTTAAACCACAACAAACAGTCTTGCTAGATTTATTGGTGCATGTACAAAAAAGCTCATTAACACCAGATTTTGAATATGATTTTCTTGTTGATTTATTTTATCTACTAGAAACCAAACCCCAGCATTTTTAGAACTTAAATTACTTAGTTCATTCACAATCTGCAGTCTCAGCATGCTCCACTGCCTATTTCATACTTCTAAACGTGCACATTCGTAACTAACTCATTTGTAAAAGCCTCTGGCTATACAAGATCGTACACATTTTGAGGCTTCCAGCATTTTTCTCCTTCAATAATGGATATTCTCTTTGTCAGAGCAGAAAATTTCTGTCCTTGCCACTTTTTACCCTCTTAATCTGATGCTACGGTCAATCTTCATGTGGGGAAGATATTGTCGTGGTTGCTTCTGTTCTTGAAACCTGCATGCCCTGATGTATTGCCTCATCTATAGATGTCAGAATAAATTTGTGACCAATCACTATTCATAAAGCTGAACTGCAGTCTTTGAAAATTCAATTACTGGAAAAGTACTGTGGCATTTGCAGCAAAATAAATTTGACTGGGTTGCTGTTTCACATGTAGAGGAAAAGCAATGAGAAATCTTTACTATATTGTCAATTATAAGGATCTTCAGGCAGATCTCTCTTCTGTACATATTTTTCACAGAAGCAGGGAACTCAATCCTACTGTTGTAAATACACTGATTCATTGACCTCCAAGGGTAAACATAAGTAAACAGCACTCCCAGTCACCAAAGTTTTAGGGAGACTGTGAAAATGCTGTCAGGAGAAGATCATCAGAGTTTAACCAGTAAACACTTTTCTTTCCCTCAGAATTGAAGTCAATAAACGTAAAATATTCAATGGTATGGCACAGCAATGAAAAACTTCATTTTTTTCAGGAGTCACCATCAAAAATACACCACTTGAACCTTCTATCAAAATGAGCAACAAATTAAGATTTCTACGAGTTCTTCATCAGCCTGATAATAACAGCATTGTCTCAATGACAGAGCACACAAAACCAAGAGATTTTTCTTCACTGAATTCCATTAATATTAGACATAGCAAGCAGCATTTGCAAATCATAATTCTTGATTTTTACCACAAAAGATGGATACATTTAGAAGTAAGAAATGAGAATGAAAAAGGGAGCTATTACATGCTTTAAAAAGAACTGGTATGATCATAGAGCTACAGACGAAAAAAAAACTTAAAGGGCCTCAGTGGAATTCATCAAAAAACAAAGACTAAACACCTGCCATCAAGGGTTTTTTTGTCATATAAAATAATTACATCTGTAAATGTTATTAGAATACAGCCTGAAAAGATATCTCATTTATTAAAATAATGCTAGTCAAACCTCTCATAAGGTTACTGAATGACATTAGTGGTCAAATAATTGCATTACTTCAAAAAAATGCATAAAGTTAGATCAAGGAAAGAAATAACTTAGAGATCTAATGTCCTTGTCCTGTTTAATTCTGATGTGCTTTTACCAACATTTAATTAATAAGCACAACACATATCTCTCTCAAAAAAAAAAGTTAAAATTGTCTTATAAAATTTCTTATAGGTGCCTCAGTTACACTCTTGCATCCATAGTTAAGTGCTAGGCAGCTGGCAGCAAAAAGCAGTCCACTAATTTAAATGTAAGTCTATGGATTTAGTTAAAATCGTAAGTTAAAAGTCTGGCTACCACTGTATGTTAGGGGAGATTCCTCCCCACGGAAGACTGCTTTCAAGTTTATTCCCAGAAAGTAAATTTTTTTTTTTTTGTCTCATTGAACAAATGTAATACGAGCAACATTATTTATTATCTCCTTCCGCATTATCTGTTTTTTCATTCTGCATCTTTTTTTAAAGAAAATAAACATTTCTCCTACAGAATGATGGTGGATTACAGTGTGTCAATGTGCAGAATTACCAGTATTGAGCAAAGCATGTGTGAGCAAATACCCACTACATACGAAAAATCTGAAATTAGACTGCAAACATGATAAATTTCTGAGTAGATGATAAGTAGACTTACCTTTCATAGGATTTAATTGCTTGTTCCAGCTTCTCTTTATAGGCATCAAGATTCACTGCCTGAGGATTAATTAGTGTGATCCGCTTCTTGTCATTGCTAACATGGGCCAACGGTAGCATCTATTATACAATAAAAGACAAAGACTTCATTTATCATACAACTTTTGCTCCACCAGAATAACTAAATGCCCACGAGTCCATGTCCAAGAATCAGAACGGACAAAAGGAACACTGGAAGGCTGCAGAAAGTAAGATCTGAGCACCCCAAAGAAACGCCAGAATTAAGACATAGTTTCCAGCCTGTTAATAAAGTCTTCTGAAATGATACAATCTCTTTATGCAGAAGTTGCAAATTAAGATTCCTGACTACTAGTTAATTCTAACTAAATCAGTACTGTCAGAAAACTCACCCTAATAATGGAAGGGTAGGTCAGAATGAAGACAAGCATGTCTAGATCATGACCATATTCCAGATTGTATTGCTTTAAAACAACACTCTCTTATATTTACTAGCATCTAATTCTAGCATACATGTGTGATAGTTACTTATTTAAGTGTATTTAATAATCTTATTATGGAGGACTGTATTTTCTAAGGAATTAGAGTACTAAAGATGGAAAGAGACATTTTTCACCATCACACTGATCACCAAAATGTAAATAAGGTGTGGATATTGCTCACTGAAACTAGTCTTAATTTACCATAATAAGGCTTAGGAACCTAACCAGGTTGGTCAGAATCAGGATCTTCAATACCTTTCAAACCTCACGATACAGCATCTACATAAGTCAACTTCATTATAAAATAGAAAGTCATACACTTACAAGTAGATCTTCAAAAGCCAAAGGTAGAAAAAAATGACAGAGAGGAGGAAACATGCCTTCCAATATCTCAGTCCAAAGTCCCACCATCCTTCAGCCTCTAACATTACTGAGCAGTTCATATAAGAAAAGCTATTTTATATATCAATGTCCTGATGATGATTATAAACAGAAAAAATCTAAGAAAGAAATGGAGAAGATGGAGAATGTTACTCTCCCCAAAACTGTCTTCAACACACATGGTTGAGTGGGAAGCTTCTCCCGATGCCTGTCTCAGATTAGGATACAGATGACAAAAAGATGGATGAGGTTCAATTTAAATAAACCTAAATTTAATTAAATTATTTCAATTTAAATAAAACCCCTGTTGGAGGAATAAGGCAAGCAATCAGAAAATAAAACAATAAGAAGACTTCTTTATTGAGAACATTTTTCAGTGATGTTTTATTTGTGTTTGAATCATCACAGCCTAGCTGGATTCCAAATTACTGCTGTATGACCATTTTTTTCAGGAGCAGTGGTGTGACTTTATATTCCCCTCTTTTTCTGAGGATGTCTTCTCTCTGATTAATAAATCTGTGTCACATCAGTGCCAGACCACATCAAAGCTCCTCATATTAAATTAATCTTAAGATGACTTAGAAGCTAAAGTTAATGGGAACATGTCAGTGAAATATCTTGCAGAGACAGATGAGGTAAATCTCTGCCCAGAACTGTGAGCCATGAAATCTGGCTACCTGTCATTTCCAGGTGGAGTTTGAAAGCTGAAAGTCAAGGAACTGAAAGTACCCCTCTTCCAGTTCCATACCCATGGTTGTTGTCTGCTATGTTACTCAAACCAAGTTTATAAAAGTTCAGAAACCATCTCCTACATTTCCTTACAAATTCCTAGAGTAACCCAAGTACAAACAGCATCATTTGCAAAATGAATTTAATACAGTTTATAAAACACTTTGAATAGAAGATGAGGGGCAGACAAGCATAAACACATTATTACAGTATTGAAGAATAAAACCAGAATGGAATGTATTCTTAGCAAATAGTAAACTTGAAATATTATGCATTCTCCTACATTTCCTTACAAATTCCTAGAGTAACCCAAGTACAAACAGCATCATTTGCAAAATGAATTTAATACAGTTTATAAAACACTTTGAATAGAAGATGAGGGGCAGACAAGCATAAACACATTATTACAGTATTGAAGAATAAAACCAGAATGGAATGTATTCTTAGCAAATAGTAAACTTGAAATATTATGCATACTTTGAAAGCAATGAAAGCTGCTCGCGAAGACAAGTGAAATTTGACAGATTCAGCTGAAAGAAATCACAGGGAAGCTCTTTTAGTGCCAAAATGTTTTGTCATTTTTTAAATTAAATACTTAAACTTTCATATCAAAAGAATTAACTTGTTTCAAAATGACTTTTATTTCAAAACCAAAATTTCAAATTTTTAAAGACAAAACCAAAGCACAATAACCCTAGAAAAACCTTTCTTATTTTAGACTGAACAAGATGTTTTGCTTGGCTGAATCTGAACTTGATTCTTTTTAGGAAAGCATTGAGTCAAAACTCCATGACTTGCAAAGCTGTACTTAAGATGCCACAATCTGCAACAGACACTCACATGGTTCTATGAGAAGGTTTGCTGCAGAGCTACCATAGCATAATTTAGACAAGCCCCCAATTTTTTTTCTGCATATGAATCTGATGGTAGTGAATCTGAAATAACCCAGCTGAAACTGACAGGTCACATAGAACTGAAAACAACAGGTGAGCCTCTTGTTAATGAACAGCTGTCACGGAAACCTTTTGCTTGCTGCATCTCCAAGGTGAGAAAACTGTTTATAGTTACTCCATCATCACTGCTAGCAAAGGCTGAAAATAAAAATTATGCTATCCCCAGAAAAGCAAACAAGGATGTCTGCATTCCACACCAAGAAAACTAAGATCTCAGAAGGAAGAATGCAAAAATGTTGTACATTTATTATTTTCAATGAAGACTTCTGAAGTACTGCAATAATCAAGATTCTTAATCAATTTGTTAATGTCTCCTATTCAAGCTCTATGTCTAGTCTCAGAACCTATTTTCTGCTTTTTCTTGATATGCTGGCATGAAGCTTGAGGGAGAGTGGGTTCCATAGCTCATAAATGCTACTGATTCCACCTTGTGTGCAATCCCCAACCTTCTTTTTCCTTTCTATACTCTGCTTCAGACCCAGAAAAACCCATGCCTCTACACATAGAACAATAATTTTCCACCGCCTGAGAAATTGTGTGTCTCTATACAACTAATGGGGATTAGCAGGTACGAAAAAGTGCTAAAATGATACATTATTTCGTGTTTATGTCCCTGAATCTAAAGCAAGATGGATCACTGTTTAGATTCTGTACAGCAGCTGTTCATTCTAAGAACACTGAACTTAATTCAGCCCTGAAGCAGACTGCCATAAGCTCCCATGAACTGCTATTAAAAATTACCTGTATATAGCACTTGCTGAATTACAGCTTTGATTATTTTCAAAGACCACTGTTTTACAGACTACTGTTTTTGCAAATAGCAGTTCAAATGCAGCTCAGGATTGTCTGGAAAAGATTCAAAGGAGTCTTCATTTAGAAACATGGCAGAAAGATCTCTACTTAGTAGGTATATTCAGAAGAAGATGGGAAAAGAAGTGACTGCTCAGAAATCAGACATAAGAGTTATGCGAAAGTCACAATGTCTTTTGTTTGACATTTCACTTAGAGTAGATTGTTTTGTACAGTTTAGTAATCATTGAATATCTGAATTTTTTTGAAAAATGGCTATTTTACATCTGAAATGTTAAAATGTACATTTTTTAATGCTTTTGATGCAAAAAGCCATCTTTTTATTGCATTAAAAAAAATCTCACACTTCAAAAAAATCCTTGAAGATCTTGGTTTTGACTTGGTTTTACTAAAACAGAGGATCTGGTTTTGCTTCCACAATCTGCATGCTACAGCAAAAATTCCCATTCCTAAATTTAAAAAACAAACATGAAAACTTTAAAATGTACAAATGTGTACATTTGTTACAAATATTTTTCTTAGCTCTATATCACATCCTATTCCAAAACCCTTAGCTCACCCCTTTTTTAAACAGATGCTGTTCAGCTTTTTCTTTGAGTATTGTTTGAAGAAACATTTTTTATTAGTTAAAATGAGCTGCAACATATTAGTAGGATTTTCATAGGGTGGATCACACAAGAAGAATTAGAACAACTTGCCACAAAATGGAATTCATTTAAGTGGAATGGCAATTACAGCTTCATGATACACAATTCATTGTGAATTTTGTACCATCTCACAATTGTCTACATTTACCAGAATTAAATTTTAATTACTGAATTCCAATACTTTTCAAAAGGTCTTAGTGGACACATGTAAACCTTGGGAATGCACAAATCCACAAACTATGCACCTGCACAGTTTCCAGATGACTTTATGGACCTAAAATACATACTCCAGTGAATTAATATGTATCAGTAGAGGCTGTGGTGCTCAAGAAATTGCTGAACACCTGATGGCTGCACACTGCCATCAACTGGTAACTGTGAAAGAAAAATATATAGCTCTAAAACTTGAGAGTAAAGTCTGCAAGAAATACTACTAACTGTCAGTTTTATCTTCTTAGTGATGCATGAATGAACATTCAGATATGCATTATACATTCAGTGCACATCAACCACCTACAATGAATACTACAGAATGCAATTATGACATTTATAGAAATGAATTAAAAAATCCTTTTGAAAACAGTACCAAGTTTTATGTTTGCTTTGAAACAGCGTAAAAGTTTTACCTCATCAAATACTTTAGAAACTACATGCTTGTCCAGAACTGGGATGTATTTGGTACCATGAGGGACAGCTGTAGGAGCTAAGGCATCCATGATGGTGAGTCGCCTAGCAACCAAGCCATGAGTCTTTAACCAAAGAGCTGAAGAGATATCTAGAGAACTAGAAAAAAGAGAGTGTAAGATGTAGCAAAAGGTAGAAATACATTTGACAAGTTTGAAATGACTGAAGAAAAATAAAAACTGTAATTTTTGTGATGTACCTATATATGTACACACATACCTTTTAGATGTCCTTTTCAGAGCTTTCTGCATTTTCAGATCTAAGATAAAACATTTGCATTTCATTATCTCACAGGTTTTGTGCACACAAAAGTATACATAAATAAGCTGACATACAATAGCATCGTTTATTTATTTGAGCCTACTAGCAGTGTCACAAAGACTACACAATAACGCCTATTTCAGTTGCTAAACTAATCAATGTGAATTATGTTTCCTGTGTTTCTTGGTGCTTGATCAATAGTAACACTGTTACTATATGCCTCATGAGCCCTAATTAATCAATGAGGAAATTTATAAAATAGGTGGGGCATAATTTAATTTTTTTTTTCTAATTGAACTCTGTATGCATTTATTTCTTATAACCCAAAAAGAAAGATTAACCAGTTTATTCCCCAATTCAAGATGTGATACCAAGTACTATCCCTAATGAGACGGCCAGGACTGGCTACTTTAAGGTATACCACTATGAACATGTGTATAAAAGGTATATAAAGAACTAAAAATAAGACGCTGAAATGTAAAAAAGTCAAACATCTTTAAATATCATAGGTGAGGTTTTAGAACAACTTAGAGGACCTATCATAAAGTTCAGAGTTGCATAAATTACTGAGAGAAATGAAAACTATCTGGATGTATATCCAAGCCCCATTGGAAATACTTTTGTCTCGGTGTATGTCTCTGCCCCACAGAACATGTTTTTTGCAAGTCTAAGCATATTAATAAAGCGCAACCTCCTTTTACATTGGTGCCACAGAATTAGAGCCACCACACTCTTCTTTAACCTCAACATTGAACATAACTACAAATTACTGTATCACAACAACAATCTATTACTGTATCATAACAAGATTCTCAAAATCTATTTATTCTGTTGATAGAAGCAACTGTGATCTCCTTTCAGCAGTCTAAGGCATAGCTGTATCACAGCTGCTGCATACTGTGGACATAACTAAGCTGTTGTAAAGTAAACAGTTTGGGCACTGACAGGAGCCTGGCCGCAGCTGTAAGAACCTTGTTACAATACCCTCCTCCAGCTCTCTGGAGTTCTGCTGCGTTCCAGTCCTGTGTACTGCAGGTCTGCACAGTGTTGCCTCAGATGAGGCACTATTAGTTACAAACACAGCAGAAGAAATGTTACAGTCTGCCCCACCCAGAGCTCCTATTCTGTCAACTTGCCTTTGAAAATGGTTGTACATTTCATGCTCTTTTTGACAGAAAAACTCTTTTTTTCGGGAGATACTCCTTCCTCTGGGCTTTCTTCCCTAGATTTCACACTACGGCTCAGGATTCGCAGCAGACTCGTCTTTGTTTGCTCTGCAGGTGTTGAAAGGGAAAAAAAGGAAGAGCTAACTTACTGTTCAAATAACATGCCTGGGATTTTTGAGTTCCTCTTTGGTATGCAGTCCCAATTTTTAAGGTACTGCCTATACACAACCTCAAACAAAAAATTACTTCAGCACTAATTTGTACTTTTTACTTTCCCAAGGATGAAGACTTCTTTCACGTCAGCCAGATAAACTTGGTTTCAGACTGCATACATAGGATAATTCAAAAAGAAACATAGTGTTACACGTGTAGTACGGAGAAATATTAGTGTAAGTAATGCTGTAACTAGTGAAACATAGATCAGCTCTTCATTCTTGCCAATGATGTACTTATTTAGAATAAAAAGAAATAAGGGTTTAATATCTACTATTAAAAAACTGCTTGCAGAGCTTTTAAAACATTCTGTCAAAATGGTTAATCTTTCATCACAGGGCATGTGATGAAGCATAAATGAGGGGACATTTGTCTGTCTGTTTGGGTCAAATGAGTAAGGTGGCTGAAAAGTAAAAATGAAGAAAAGTTAGTTAGAATTTCAGAAAGATGGTTATTTAAATCATCAAAGGCTTCATTTGTTCCTACAATGAGGGACGGTTTTTGCTATTTTCAACAGATCTTCTCAAGTAGTGAATAAATTCTGCTAACAACTACAGTTCATTTTAGTCTTACCTGCATATAATGCTTTCTTCCTTCGGGCTGGACTGTCAGCAGGGGTTTGCCAGGTTTGCTGATGTGGTGTTGGTGCTGGCTCCTCTGAAGCACAGCACGGCCTGCTGCTAAGAGTAGTACTTAGCTCTTCAGTGTGTTCGGTTACAGAAGACACAGTATGTGTCTGCTTGTGATTACTGCTTGTAAGTGACAAAAAGAAGAAACAAGCAAGAAATTACTTAAAACATATATCACTGGTTTAAAAAACACTAAGCTGAAGTCTTCTAGTAATTTAAATACTCATTTCAAATGCTTTCAACAGTGCAAAATATTTTCTCTATTATCCCAGTCTGCATTTCAAAGGGGAGTTCAAAGGAGGTTAAAATATTCCTAGTTTTTTAAACTATTGAAAAAGTCATTTCTTAGTCTATTTAAAAGATGTTGCCTACTTTTAAGGCAACATCCTCGTATAATTTTAATAGGGTCAGAATGTTCTGTAATAGCCACTTTGAATCCTGGGGGAAAGAATAAACCTACCATCAGCAATGAAAATAGCTGACACACACACACATATATATGAACATATATACACATACACACATATATACCTATGTCCCCACATTAATAAAAAATAAAATATATAAATTCTGGAATAAACACTTATCTACTTTTATACTGGACATCCTACTGCCCTTCCACACATATGAAATCGTTCCACAGGACTCTCCACTTTTAATTTATTTTACTTTATTTTGAATACCTTTATTTTAACTTACTGTTTTTAATAGACTTCTGTCTTAAAAATCTGATGTTACTTTTTTGCTTTTGTACTATTACTGCACAGATAAATAAGGCACTGGGCAAGCTATTTTTTTATTAAGGCTGTGCTCCTGTAGAGATTACAAGTAACTTCACGTTTGAAGCTAGGTCTGTGTTTATTACCCAAACAGAAATTCAGTATAATCAGACATGCAGAAAACTTTTCCACAGTGGCTCAGGAGTCTGCCTTCAGTATGCTGTGGAAGGATCTCTTTTTGAACGGTCATTTTTGGCACCATGCGATTTTCAGCATGTTTTTCAACTGATGCTGGGCACGAAACTAGTTTTAATGATGAGATTACTTATCTTTTGATAAAAAGCAAGGATAAATACAGCATGAACATACAGACAACACATTGCAAAATAAAAAATGTGAAAAAAAGTAAGCTGAATTTCATTCATGGTGTTTGCCATCTTCTAAACAAGTACATTTGTATGTAATTTATGTTTCAATCAGCATATCCCAATGAGTAGCAATTTAGTCATGAAGTACCAAGCCAGCTCTGCCAATAGGACAATATTTTTTCGTGAATTCTCTATGTCAGAGGAAGCAACTTTACCATGTGCTGGAGACAGAAAAATATTTTCACCTCTTTGCTTTTATTATTACTAATAATTTGAGACTATTTAGATATTTGAGATCATTTTGTTTCAGGCATCACAGTATTAGTGTATTTTTCTAGATTTTTTTTTTCCACTACCTTAACTGTTTAAAAAAAAAAAACACCACCACCTTTCTTTTTAAAAGAGAAGAATGTCAGAGGTTTAAAATGCAAGACAATGAAAAAGGAGAAATGTAACAGATAGTTCCTATCTCTTATTAACATAATAGCAGTAAGAGGACATACTTATTCTCTGGATCATTTTCTCTGTTACAACAATTCATCATCAGACATTCGGCGTGAAAGGTCTTCACTTTCTCTAGGTCTCTTTCTCCTTGTTCAATCTCTCTTTTCAAAAGATGTATGTCTTCACTCTAACAAAATCAAATATTTTATTACAATTACTCCTAAATACGTTTCATTTCTGAACTGAAACTATGCAAGCTCTGATAATAATTTTGAATAATGACTCAGGACAGCTGCATGATTTTGTATACTTTTTCAGGTAGTCTCTCTGTTTCCTAAATCAAAGTTTGTTTTGTCCACTTTCTATATGTATGAACAAGCTTATAGAAAACAAGATTAAAATGTGCTTGGCAATACAGCCTTTCAAATTATTCTTCGTTTTTAGGAAAAGGAAAAGCATTCCCTAACAAGCCAGTTACCCCTTGAGATATGAACAGCCATATTTCTGAATAATGTAATGAGGTCAGTAGCTCTCTTCATTCCAAGCAAGCAAGCAAATAAGTAAGTAAATAAAATACAATACATGTACATTACAACTGTTGTCTTGTCATTCTACAGATCACAGCTGTATCACATACTGTCCCTGAAAAATGAGAAGTAAAACCCATACTCTTCAAGTAAACATTGGAACTGACTGGGAATCATTCGGACTACAGGAGGAAACAGGAAGGAAGTTCCAACGATGATGCCTTTACAACTCCCACAGGGCCAGAAGTCTGGAGATGGACAACACAGACTCTGGTCCTCATCTTTCCAACATGTGCAGTGTCACACAGTCCACATCAGCAGAATCACCAAAATTGTCCAGTGCACTCTCTGATATCTTTCAAGAGCTGGAGTATTTGCACATCTTCCTTCTAATCGGTGTCTGCAAAGTTCTAAATTTCCTGCTACTGTCTTGTTCCTGGTTGTTCTCATCGTTCCACAACCACCATTTCTAAAATTTGTGGAACTGATTAACTTGAGTGTTAACTTTCACTAAAAACAAGAATATGCTTTAAATGGGTGTTTCTGTTAGTCTATTCAGAAATTTCCTATTGGGCATTGTTAGATTGAGCTGCTTAGTCACACTTGATAGGTCACTGCTATTCTAGTCATTTTACTCATTATAGATGTGTCCCCAGTGGCTACTGTAGAGCAAACTTCATAGAATCATTCATTCATCATTGTTCAAATTCAGCTCTGCATTCTCTCATTTATTAAGAGGATACAAACCATAGTTTCATTTTAAACAGTAACTTATTTCTGAGACAGCAGAGATCATGTGTGTTTCTTCCAAAGCTGAATTTGGTTTATATGGTTTTTGGGTTTTGTTTTTCGGGGGTGGGTGCAACAATTGCACTACAAATGTACTTTGCATGATATTTGGGCTGTTTTGTTGTGGTCTAATAAAATTTCATAAGCAAAAAAGTCACACTCATTGCCTCCACATCACTTCAAATCTGACTAGGATTAACTCTCTTTTTTTAATAATCTATTATAATATGAAATCACACTAATGGCAAGTCCTGTGGTTCCTTCAATAGCATGAAGAAACAAACATCTTCATTTTCAGATACTCACAACAATAAACTCTGCAGCATCAGGATCAGTCAAATAAATGTTGTAATAATGAAACCGTCCCTCTGTTTCAGTAGATAGTTCATACAAAAATTTATTAGCTTCTGTATCATCACAGTTGAAGGATACAGTATGGATGGGTATTTTACGATAAAGCTGGACTTGAGCCAAAATTATTTGGGGGGGCTGAAAATAGAAAAGTGTGTATTAAACATGTGGCATCTAGAAGTGTATTTATCAAAATATGGAGAATTTGTAAGAATTTAATCAGTCATACTGTTGCTTAGAGACAGATATAGACCAGTTAAAAGCATACATTTTATATGGATTGCTATTTCATAATTATATAAAATGATCTAATTTAAAACTGAATTTGAAACACTGATAATGCATTAAGGCACAGGACACACTAATAAAATAAAATGTAAATTATAATATAATCAGTACTCTGTTTCTGAAGTCTTAAAGGAAATTACTAAAGTAGAGGAAATTAAACTACTACATTGGTGTTTAGTATCACTGGATGTATATAACTGTATATTTTTGGACGTATATAATTGTTGATATTTTTATTAAGCTAAATTAGTTCAATGACAAGTTGATTCAATACCAGGAGACAAAATAGAGACTCAGAAAATAAGAAAGTTAGTGTTCCTCCTCCAATAGAGAAATAAAAATTAGGTGAGAAAGTAAAAGCTCCACCATGTCTAAAAATGTTGAAGGATCTGGTAGAAAGAAATTATTGACTCAGTTCTCCAACTTCTGATAACACTTCGGTTGTTCAGAATACTGTCATAAATCTTGACAAATGTAGCTTTCTCCTGATATTTGCAATATATTTGCTTGTTGTACTTTAATAGTTAAAAACAATCTTGGTAATTTCCTCTTTTTCATCTAAAAAGTATAATATAAATCATAAAAGCCATTATTAACTAGGTAAAAAGAAATTAAGTGTTCATTAATTTCTAACTTAATAAAATATTAAGATGAAGAATCTGAGTAAGTGTACGTTAAGCCAAATTATTCTTTAATAAAATATGAATATATACTCCTAGCTAGCAAAAGTGTGAAACAATGCAAAGATTTTGATCAGTTGTAAATTGAGTTTTAATGAGTGACAGCCAATAACAATCAACTTGTCTGTAGAAAATACCAAAGCTTAAAACTAAAATTAAAAGCAACATTAAAAGATGTAAGTCAAAGTTTCTCATCTGCTTATTTAAATCAGGTTTACGTTTTGATATTCAAATGACTTGAATGGGCCTTTTGCTTTTATCAAAAAAAACAGAACAAAAAGGAATGTGAACCTTTAGCATTTTTCTTCCTTCTCAAGGTATAAAGAAATTATTTCTGCAAGTTTATGATGCTTTCTAAATCCTAGATTTATTGTATATGCTTCAGTGATTAATTTTGTGTGACCTTCAGCCCAGCTATTTACCTAAGTCAAGAGTTTTGCTGCATATTTGCCATTACAACCAAGCTAAACTTTCAAGGGTAAATAAAGTATTTTTAAAATGCCATTATCAGCATACCAGCTAGTTTTCACCATGCATTACAGCTTCAAAGCTCAGTTCTACCTAATTTGCATAATTATATCTGATCAACAAGGGGGTTTCTTCCAGTTTTTAGCTGGTGTTATATAATGCAATATATCATCAAATAGCATCATTTTAAGTCACGGTAACAACACTTTCAAAAATAAAAGCATACTTTTGATTCTTTTATCCACTTAAACCTAGACTTAAAGCAACTCCAGACTGCTGCTACTCCAGAATTGCCTACATGAGATCAAATTTGACTCAGTAGGATAAAAATGGAATCATATGGAGACCTAATGGAACAATATTAATGGTAACATCTTTATATGAAAATAATGCAAATTAATAATTAGGCCCTTACTCCTCAGACATGAGATAGCCTTTGTGTAAGTTCTGCAACAGGATGTAAAAAGGTACCTACTTATATATTTGATATGTTCTTTGGGGAAAAATGTTGAACACGAACGTTGTTGGTTTTATTTTGCTATCAATCATTTTCTTCTTAGGTTTTCAAGCCATCACACAAGATTGCAGGGTTTTAATATTTAAATCCAACCATGTCATGGGACCATCATTATTTTTTGATTTTTAATTCATGAGATAATTGTACTAAGTTAGGGAGATATTTTATTTAACACAAATCCTAACCTTGATACTAACATTAAACTTTACTGTTTAATCCATTACCAGATCCTTTAAACAACTCATGAAAAATGTCACGAGTTATCATGCACCAAAGACTGGACTGTGGGCTGAGAGTTCTAATCAAAATCCCTTCACAAACAGCACATTTCTCAGATACAATTTTTCAATATTATGACAACGTCCAAGAGACTCAGCTCTGCAGCTATGATATTCATCTCATACATTTGCTTCAGCCTTCTGACACCATCACTGTAGCACCACACTACTACATCTTCTGTTTTCTCATTTCAGAAATACCTGGTCAGGTCTCCCGTCAGTCAAGAGGTAAATAGCCTGAGTGTCAGTATCGGCAAGAGCAATCTGGAGAGCTTTGAGTGTATTTGTGGAACTTCCAACCTAAGAAACCAAAAAGAAAGAGACAAAGGAATGCCTATAAATACTATAAATACAGTTCTTTGCCTCTGTTCTTAAATTAATAATGACAGTGTACTGATTCAAGGGATATTACAGAACGAAAATGAGTAATAAAATAGTGAAAATATTTATGTCAAATAGCTAGAAAAATCAAAGCAGGTTTCAAAGTAGCATAAATTGGTACCACATTGGTATTCAGTGCTTATGCAAACACACATAAGCATAATGCTGGCAACAGAAATGAGCTGCAGAAGCAAAAGCAATCACTTTTTAAAAGACTATAAACAGATAGGAAGATGTAATATAAAAGATACATTCCATTATATTTTCCCACTGCTGCTCCTGATTGCCAACTCATCACACTCCCTTGAAATACATATTTTACTTAATCAAATAATTCAAAAAGTCCACAAAAAAGTTGCACAAATTTATTTCTCAAAAACAGGTAAAGAACTTCCTGGTTTTCTGAACAATTTTTTTTTCCAGACTATCTCACATCTAACGCCTCAGCACATCAAGGTAAACATCATTTATTTTTTAGCACAAAAGTTAGCTATAACAACAAAAAATACACAGTAAAGCAATACTGTGCCCCCTAAAATTTCATACTTGAGTAATACTAGCACTTTTCCTGTGTCATCCACATACTTAGTGATCATGATCTGTCTGTCTTTCTCCTTTTTAGACTAAACGTAACTCTAAACTCACCAAAATGCATTTCATGGCTTATAGGAACCTAAAAACTACAGTTTATGTCTTCAGATTTCCACCTTTCAAACACTCAGTGTACAAAACTTTCCAAATTTAAGGGGAAAGTAAGGTTTTATCAGAATGGAAGTGTGTTTCATCAAGTCTTAGTCTTAGTCTTTTAATGGGGCCAAAGCAAAATTCCTGAAAAGATGTGGGTCTGTTTTATGCTACTATAACACCTGAGTATCACTCTGGAGGGCAGTGAGGATTGTAGCGGTGTAAGAAGAGACTCAGGATCCACATATATAATGCATTATAGAAGATAAATATAAATCACTAACATTAACCCATACATGCAAAAATATGTTAAGAGATAGCATTATTTCTTCAGTCCTATTAATTCTGTTAAAACTTCTTCCAGCCCATCCCTCCAGCAAATAGTTCTATTAGAAAGGGCAAAGTAAGTAAATTAGGTGAAATGGAATAGGAGGTACACTCTGAGAGTGACTTTATATGGCTGCATAAGAATGGGCCAGGCAACAAGATAGCTCAGATGATACTTTATAATCCTATCTTCTAATTCACAAACAATCCTTACCAGTACCCACTCATAAGAAATAATTAGCCTAAGCCATTTTCTTTGTGTTAAATATATCTAATATTGCTAATGTTTTCGTAAGCATTATAAAGTTTTAGGCACACATTGCTCATTATTATGTGTAAACTGGCCATCCTGGCTCTTTTTAATAATGGTACCTGGTTTTGATCTGATTTGAAATAAAACAATTTCTTCCACTATATCATGGGAAAATACTGTGGATGCTGATGACATGAAGGAAATAACTACATACCTCATGGTAAAAGCTGTTAATTTTAGATTTCTCAGTTGCTACTGTTACAAATGAACACTGGTTTTATCAGTGTTTAAACAAAGTTGACATGCTTCAACTATGTGGCATAATCACCCCAAAAATTTTAAATGTTATCACCTTTAAAGGATTTTTAAGGAGCAGTTTGTTACTGTTTATAGCTCAGCTTCCTTATTCAACATCTTGGGACCAAAGTGTATAAAATGAGATCAAAGGATCTACTCTGACTGATATTTCAAAGCAATCTTCTGTTCATTTCAGCTTCGCTGTAAAGCCAGCTTTCTGATCTCAGACTTATGCCTGCACTGCTTTAAACAGACTAAAAGGTCAGCAGCAGACGTAACCCCCCCAAAAAAGTAGACTCTTCTTGTACCATTCCCTGTACCATTTGAGATATCTAGATCTGAACTTAGAAGGAAATTTATAATCAACAATTCACAACTTCATGAAAAATTATGAAAAGGACCATTCCCAAATGCATATATAAGATGGTATCAAATTATTGTACTTCAAAGTATTCTCGAATTTGCATGATTTTGTACCACGTATATAGCTTAAACAGAGCCATCTTTTGAAGTCTCAAGGTTGGCAGTAAAATTAAGTTTACTAACCTCAGCTATAAGTAATCACCAGCTACTCAGTGAGGCCACACTAATGCTTTCTTTTCTCCATGTGTTTGTCCATTAGTATTTTCTGAGAATACCAAGTTATTTATCTCGCTTTGTAGTCTCAGAGGTATTATGTAGCTTCCCCAATTCCCTCATCCCCAGGAATTTCATGATTAAGTGTGAGGAAGAGCTGTGATAATGCTGAGGATTTTCATTATATAAACATGTTTTTTGTGTTAGAAAACATAACATGGGATATATCTGTACTGTTTTATGACTGATTTTCAGTCCTGTGCTCATAACATTGCTGTCCACATTTGACAGATTAACTGGTCCTAAAGCTGCTGACAGTTACAGTCTGGTGGCTGACTACAAGCATTTCTACTCTGTTTCAGCTTAAAAACCTCAGATTTTGGCCACTGTCAGAGAAAGAATACTGGGTAGATAGACAGATATTTGGTCGGAGTTTGCTCTGATGTTCCTATGAAAGCTAAGTCAACTGTCTACCTATGCACCAAAAGGCTCTAGAAATGCTCCTCCAGCTCTCTGGCACCAGTTTCCTGTATCACCTCTGAGCTGTAAGTCTGCCAGCAAGAGCCCTCATCCATGCAGCATCCCTGCAGCAAGAGTGACAAATTTAGACACAGGGTCTGAGCATTGTCATGGTTCCTACAGAAAACAAATTGGCCAATGTTTGCATTGTGGTTACTAAACATAGCAGACTGCGAGTTGAATTAATATGGTCTTATAAATAGGTCCACTGTTAAAAGATTATTATATCTGACATGGATAATACGTTGTACTCAGATCTACTAAAGTCTATACATCATCTATATTTTCAGCTTACTCAAGTCAAATACTTAGTCAATCCAAAAATACCCCAGCTATACAGAAAGAGAAGACACAAATACAACTTTGTACAAACATGCTTTCTGATAATTAGTTTCCATGTTACCTCAAGCCCTTTTATCCAAAGCCAAGCATCTTGCAAATTTTCCTCATTAACTTCAGCAAGTTTGTCTTGCCATGCCACTGCTTGGGCACTGAATTTCACAAAGTTAAATCTCTTTTTGTGTCTCAATTGTTCCTGCAAAAGACAGCATCTATATTTTACTCAGTGTTAAAAGAACGAATACTTGTATCCTGACATACTGACTAATAGGAATTGTTTTAATTAATGTATAGTTGATTATATGGTTACAATAAATTATGATAATATTCAGTTATGGTATACAGAGAGACATACAGAGACAGAGAAAATTATTGCCTTCAATTATTAAGATTACTTGAACTTCCCAATGTAAGTCTCCACTTACTCATATGTCTCAAACTACTTGAACAGCAAATGTCTAGGAGGGCAAGAAAGAGAGAGACGAAACTGTGTATGAACAGTGGTATAAGGAAGAGATTAAGACTGCTTACCAAAGGACATTGAAATCAGAATCAAAGAAAGACATCATTTAGAGGAGGAGAATAAGAATCAAATGTAGAGCACTGGCAAGGGGAACTAAGCAAGAGAGAATCAAGTTAAGAATTTGCTGAAGTTGCTTTTGGATAGAAGTTACAAAGAGTGAAAGATTTGTGCAAGCTAGTACAAACTTTCAGAGCCTGGAATCTTTGCCTCCCTTTCATCACCATTTCTGTTCAGCTGCCTGTGAAACCTTCTGGCACAGTATCTAATCATTTTCTAGTGCTGATCTGTCTAGAGTACCACATCATATTATGTCCTATTACTTACGCACTTAGCTCAAAAACCTTTCTGTTGTAGTTTTAAATTTTCTAGCCCTACTAATGATTGCTATTTATGCCAGACTGATAGAATTTTTATTTGTCAGTTACTCCTCTCAGGTCTAAAAAAGTTAAGAGGAATCATGTTTTAATAGTGCCTGTTTCTCTCAAATATTAATGTAAGCTTAGGTGACATCATTGTAGATTTCTAAAACTAGGTGAGACAAATCCTATCTTAGGTGTGTCTCCCAGTACTCATTGCTTTTGAGGTACTTCTGCACTTTGCAAGTCCCTTTGCAAAGTTCTGAGTCACTGTAAGATGCAGGACGTTCAAAACATTCTACACCCTCTATTGTAAAAGTATGAAAGTGAATCTAGAACACACATTACAAATCACAACATGCCAGTAGAATTGGATGACACTGCTTAAAAATAAAAATGAAAATGCCAAAAGGTGCTTCATTGAATAGGTTTTTTTGTTTTCTCTTTTTTTTCTTTTCTTTTTTTTAGGAGGGAGGTGGCTTGAGGGAAAGAAGAACTACTTAAGCCTTTTTAATTTTTAACATTTTCTCCAGATTTTTTTCAAATATTTGTACAAATAAGGAAAAAAAATAAATTTTTAACTGAAAAATGAGCACACCAGGAAAAATCAAAATGTTCTTATAAAGCTGCTATTTTTTTTAAATTGTTAAAAAAAAAATTAGAGTAACAACCATGCAGAAAAGATCAGCCTACTCTAAAATGCTCCTCAGTCTTCAGAATCATCACTTTATCATACCTGTATGAGCTGAAATATTTTCTCCTTCACCAGTGGCAGCTTGTCCTTCATAGACTGGGATGTGTCAATAAGAATATAGACACAATCTTCAAACACATTCCCAAAGAGCCCTCTGCTTCCTTGTTGAAGCCACTTAATCCTGGGGGAGTAAAAAAAAAAAAAAAAATCCTGGTCTGTAAGATCTTTGGAGCTTTGTGTATCAGAATCTAACAGGAAGGATCTTTTTATCACTGCTATACTTATTAGTCTCCTTCCCTAAGCACCTGTTACTAGTCACTGTCAGAAGCGGTATATTGGCCTTGATGAACCAATCCTCTGTCACTACATAACAACACAAGGCATTTTTATTTCCTAATTTCAGTAGGAGACAGACAAAACAGACAAAGCAATACAGCATCTTTATAAAGTCAATTATCAGGTAGTTTGACCTGGGAAATCCCCTGTGGAAGTAACTGTAATTATTGCCCCTGTAACTGTTCTCCAGCCTGAACTCAGGAAATCATTTAAGCATATGCTATTATGCCTCCCTTTTCAGGAAACCACTTGAGAATCTATTCTGCAAAGAACTTGAGCACTTTGAAGAGTCTTAATATAACACAGATGCTTCCATGCTTTGCTGACCTTGAGCCTTAAATACAGACTTAGTTTTACATTTTAAACAGAATTTAAGCATGCCTGCCAGTTAAATACGTGCATACATACTGCTGTGTACAAGAACATTTCCTCAGTAATGGCTGCAGCAGGTCCAATTCTGATTTCCCTTGAGAGTCATAAACTACTTGTCTACCCTGAAACAGAGACATTTAACAGACGGAATATAACGGCCCTGGGAAAAATATTACTCATCTCCACAGAGGTTTAAAAAAATGATATCATGGAAACTTAAAGGATCCTATTACATTTGCTACTGAGAGCTATTTTGCCATTAGTTATTTCCCCAAAAGTGTTTTATGAGTTTACCAAGACTTTTTATCAATGAGATGAACCATTCAAAACGGCAAACCCATAATCTTGGATTTCGAAAATATATACTCACCAAAACCCTTTAGCTCAAATTTTCCTTTCACAGTATGTTAATGTTATCCTAAATACAGCAAGATGAAGATAAAGTAAAAGGAATAACAAAACTCTGTTTGACCTTGCTAAATGTAATCAGGCTGTTATACTTTTGGTAGAGAAGCAGCAATAAAATGAAAGTTCATATCCTGCTTTTTTCAGTGAGACATCTCATTGTCCTAATATACAAAACAGAAAGCCAAATTTATTTTTTCTCTCGGTTCTACAATATCCATTTTGAAAGCTTCTTTCTTCTCCTAATGCAGATATAAAAGCCAATTGACTTTAGGGCATCTTTAGGACAGATGAATCAGACCATCAGATTGCCTGTTTTTTTGCAGATGCCCTACAAAATCTAAGAGTGTATCTATACGGCTGCAGAAAAGTAAACTAGGGAGCTAGCTTGAGCACTGAACTTCTAATCATACGCATTACTTAATAGCTCATGCCCTGACTCCAATCTAGACTGTTCAAACTTGTCTTCAACACAAAGTTGCAAAAAGGGCAGATAACCATTATCAGTATGGGCACAAGCCAAGCTGTGCTACTTGGTGTTAGAGATATCACAAGAGATCCTTGGTACACAGGATGAATGTTTACCAGGTTTTATTGATGATTCCAGAAGTTCTCTGCCACCTTATGTCCCGATGCTTTTTGGCACTTTCAGCAGTATTTCAATAATGTGCAGACTGACTTTCACATTTATGTTCCAGAAGGAGAACAAAAGATAAAACTGTTCATCGGTTTTCTTATATGGGTACTAATAAATCCTACACACAAGATTCTGATCTAAAATGGATTTCTGGCTTAGTACTGTTGCTGGCAGTTTACCAACCACTTCAGCTTATTATGACAGTAAATGTCAAACATTTCAACACCACTGTAAAATAATACAAACTGATTTTACGTGACAGAACACTAACCTTCCTTCCACTTGTCTAAGAGCCGTCCTCATTTTCTCTTCATACTGCTTATACTTTTCTGTACTAACATATACATGAACTACAGATCCATCTTTCCAGAAGGTATGTACAAACTTCTCACAATATTTTGCATGAATTACCTTCCTCTTTGTCTCCTACAGCCAAGAAAAACACGTTTCATGTTCCAAAACACATTATTTTGCAGTGCCTTTAGTATTTGGCGAACAAACTTCAAAGGTACATACTTGTTGCACATGAACAGGTGCAGAAATAGACATGGGATAGGGTGGTCACAGAATTTGCTCCTAGCAAAAGTCAGTAGAAACTGTTTTTATTCTTGTAGCTAGCAAGTTATCAAACAGTGTAATGGTAGAGCTTGAGAAAAACAAATAGAAGACAAATGAATCCAAATTTGTTTAAGGACCTGCAAACACTGGAGCAGCTGAGACCAATACTTCTTCTAAGGAAAAATAAAGATGACAAGCAATCTTTGCCCTACCCCACATAAATACACAGAAAAACAAGGCATTGCTTAAGCCATCCCTAATTCTACCTTGCAGATTATATGTGGACCAGGAAGAAGTCCTTGAAACAGTCATTTTCAAATACCCCTTTGAAACAATCTTATTTATGACCATCTTTGTCCCTTTCCACTACTAAGCTGGATTTAACAAAAACTAGATAACAACGGACCATACACTTTATCATAAATTCTGCTATCAGTCAAGTTTTCAAGTTTTAAAGGAAAAATCAATCAACTCACAGGACATGAGGGAAAATTAACAATACTCACAGCATCAGTTTGTGAAGATTCATCCTCTGGTTTAGTTTTTATGTCAACAATCCCATCTGCATGGCGAAAAGTACAATCAGCAAGTGCATCGTACAGTGTGAGCTTCTGAGCTTTCAAGCCATACTTCTGCAACCACTTCTCAGAAGACAAATATTTGTCAGATGTATGCTTTTGTAATGGATGATCAGCTTTTGTTGCTAATAAAGAAAATAAAACAAACAAAACCTCCTGTATAACATTGATAAAGTTGGATAAGGTATTTTCAAAAACAGGCTATGATGCTGCGGTCAAAATTTTCAAATGTGTTCTGCTTCACTGACACCTTTGGAATGAGAGGATATTTCTGACTGATTTTTAATATTCTCTACTTTGATTGTGGGGTTTTTTTTTTTCTCATTGGGCATATCTTTGCAACAAATTCTTTTGTAAATGGAACAAACTCATCAGAAGACAGAGAGCAAAGAAGATAAATAGCTACAGGATCAACATATAAAGGAAATATTATTTAAGGTACGAAGGCTGACTTAACCTTCATACTGTTTGAATTACAAAATGCCAGACAATTCCTGTATAAGATGTCTAACTTCAAGGAGAAGTTCTCTGCATTTGAGAAAATGAAACAACAAAAGATATAATTGAAAATACAGTTGAGAACATCGGCTAACATTGCCATGGGTCTTTTTCAGAGAAGGCCATTTAAAATAAAAGGCAAACTACAATATCTTTGGAAGAAATTTTACTGTGTTTCTCTGCAATATTGCCTTTTTATAGGCTGAATGTTGCACCATGTATCCCAAGTTACAAATCACTTGTGTCCCATCTTGACATTTTCTCTAGTTCTACACCCTCCTTTTAGCATTTTGAATTGATACTGAAAGAAACAGGATATTTTTTGTCTGATCTGATATGACTCTTCTCATGTTTACCCTTTTATGCCATATTGTCTTAGAAATTTTCTAAGGACCATCTTAAGGTTGGGCACCGCACATCTCTGGATACTAGTAATAGGATACAGGGCTCTACACTCACTCATCACTAGCTCAATAAAGCACACCTAAACTAAATGACCCACCAGTGGGTCTCATAGCAGGGTGAATTTTTTTTGTCACACTTTAATTTCAGTGGACCTAGGTGGTATAAATGTCTACTCTGTTTAGATGCAGCTACAGTGACAACAGTATTGAGATCCTGAGCCTGTAAACAAACCAATGGGGACATCTACTGCCTCAACACACACAGAGATCAGCCAGCATCAGGGCAGGTGCAGGGTCAGAGCCTGTTCATGTGGAAACATTTGCTTTCTGATTGCTTGTGGTCCTTAGAATAGCCAGTGTGGCAAGCGTCACAAATGAACTCACATAATTTTAAAAAGAAAACTGTTTGTTTTCTTTCTTCCACATGTTTTATGTAAAAAATCATGTCTCAGGTCAGGTAACTAGGGCATTATCTGGAGAGTCAGCAGAAAATTTGTCTCTTTTTCTCTGTTTCTTCTCCTGAAGAACATTGCAATCTTCAGAACAAACTACATTTTGCAGCAGAGCATTTTAAAGAGATCAGAAAAGCAAAACCAGGAAGAAATGCAGGCAAACAGAAAGGCTGCAGTTACTTGGATCAATGGACAACAGTCAAATAATGCTGAAGAACTGACAAAATAAATCACACTGTAATTTCATCTCTTTTAATTTATTTATGAAGTGATTATGTATGAAAACAAACACTAAAAGAATATTAAAGCTGCGTAGTCAGGAGCATATAAATAAACACTGAAATTAGGGCTGCCCTTGCAGCTTTATTGTGGTCTTTTTGTTCATATGCATTACGGTATAGCCATTTAACTTCATATGGGAAGTCCTGCTAATTCAGAAGATGCTATTATCAGTATAAAAACTGTATTACGCCTTCACAGAAGAATAAACTCAAGCTTAAGTCCTGCAGAGTTATGTTATTGACATATGTTCAAACCCAGTGCAGGCAGAGAAAGTTCCCAGCTTCAGATATTCACCATCACGCTACAACACACCGCTGAGAGTTCAGGTGACTGACCAACTGCCTGTACAAAGTGTTCCTCAGCAGGTGATCGGGAAAAGGGCATCTGGCCCCAGCCTCCATCTAGCCAAAGCAAAAGCAATTGCACTGCAAAACCAATACTGGAGCTACACAAATTCACTGATGAATGACTTGTGCTAACTCAACCTGAATCTTGTATCAACTTATGCAAAAAATATCACCAGACACCATGTAAGTATTTTAAAACCAGGGACTAATGCAGAATATAGGCACTGACAACCACAGCTATGATCCTGAAAATCCACCCCCTGAGTTGCAGTCCAACACTGAAGCTGCCTAGACTCTACAGATTCCTAAGTTTTCAGTATTTAAGTCTTGTCAGTGTGATCATTCTGCTCCAGAGCATGCCCAAAGCACCTCCACCTTAGCAGGGCTGAATAGCTTCTCACCATCCTCTGTTTAAGCCTTCCAGAGATTCAGAAACCAGCTATGCTTCTGCCTTCAAGAGGGCTCAATCCAATCAATATGCACAAAACAACAAATGGATCATGTTCTAGGCCAAACATAATGGTGGGAACTGTTAGTTTAATGAACAAATGTGGGTGTTTCTCTGTGTTTCTTAACACCAGAGTTGTCAGAGCACTCATCCAGAATCAGTTTCAGTCCTCTACCTTTGCGTAAGAGAATTCAAACCCACACTTCTTCCCTTTTAGGGCAATGAACTAGCTACCAGGTTGGAAGCTATCCTAAGAAGACCGTGATGACAGAGAGATGAGGTACTTCCCCAGCACTGTGTAGAATAAAGTTAAAGATTTACTGGCGCAGGCACAGAGGGAGAGACCACAAAAAATAAATTTCAATATCTTGAAATCTAAGCAATTTCTAAACCTAGTTACTGGTGAACTAAAAATGGTGTGTTTCAGCCTGAGCTCTTCACGTTCAGCAAGTTTAAGCAGTAGAAAACAGAGAGTTGTAATGGAAAGTTTTAAGTAACCCTAAGTTAGATGCCAAGTATAGGTGCTACCTGTATATAGACATTTCTGAGAAAATCATCCCCAAATTGACATGTAATCAAAACTGTTCACAAATAAAATATTGATCATGAACACAATGGTAACTCTGTTGAAAGAAACATAAATGATACCATCTTGAGAAGCAGGCTGGTCAGATTCTGATAAAATTTTCTGAACTTGTCTCACTGTATTCCTGGCTTCCTCCAACTCCTTCCAGATCAAAAAGACATCTTCACGGACACCAGCTACTGCAAAAGAAATCATAAAAAGAACTTGACATTTTGAGATAATTTCTGCTTTTTATAACTCCTCAATAACCACAAAGTCATTGGGTTCATCTAGATGTTGCCATATAACCTTGTTTTCTTGAGGTCCCATTGCAGTGACAAGTCCTGTTCTTTGACAGACTTCAAAAAAGGGCTCAAAGCTGGCACCAGGACATGAGAGGTGCTTAGCCTGGTGGAAATAACGTCCGGAGTTGGCCACAGATTGTTCCCACAACGGAAGCAAATCTTTTTAACGCTCTCAGATAATAATAAGGAAACTCCACAAAGAAATTCACCTGTTGTCCCCTGGACTTCATTGCAAAAGCTGGCTTCAAATATTAGACCCAACTTTGAAACTTTAAAGAGAAGGTATTTTCAACTCTTTCAATTCCCTTACAGTACATAAATACCTTTATTTAAAATTAAATCTTCTTTTCCTGAAGAGTATTTGATGAAATTTTGCTAAGATAAGTTTATTTTCATCCTAACAATTCTCAACAGTCATAAATAAATGCTTAAAAAAAAAAAATGTTTTACTATCAGGCTACATTCTCAAAAAATTGGAAAAATCCAAAGCTGGAGTTGATACAAGGTTTTCTTAATCTCAATACATAAGTTTGCCTTGATTAAAAAAATAAAAATATGTATTCATTTAGTACTGTAAAATTATTAAAATTGAGGCACCATGTATGCCTAAGCACTATGAACACTACTAAAAAATGTGTTAAACCATGTGAGTCTCAGAGTTTAAATTGCAATATAGGACAATACAGAAAAACTGTGTGTAGTGTTACAGCAAAAATATAAAAGAAACTGAATCATGAGTTATCAGCCACAAATGCAAACTACAACCTATTGCAGATTACAACCTATTACTGAATTGCACATAAAGATGCTGAACAAGGCAAACTGTATCTTACCATCTAGTGGTTCAGTTAATATACAGTGGTGGCTCACTGTATAAAAGATAAGACATGCAAACTTGTCTACTAAAGTAGGCTATCAGTAAACAAACAAACCTGATCATTTTGTTCTTTGATAAACTTCCCTGAAATAATAATATGAACATTTTACAAAATAACAACTTTAATTGTGAAATGGTTTTAGTTTCCAAGAAATATTTTGAAATGTGTTATTGTACACTGCCATCTCCTGGGACCTTCCTGCATTTCAAAAACATCTGTTTCAGCCATTAGGACAAAGATCAACATTTCCTAAATCACAAAAAGCTTTAGTAAAGCAGATCATTCCACAACATAAAACACAAAAGGGAGAAAAAACCTCAGTCTGTTACCATTACCTTTTAAGTTCAAGAAAAGTATTCTGTTCAAATACTTCAGAAAGAAGTCAACTTTTCTTTTATAAACAATCCCTCCCCAGAAATGCAAAATATACAAAATCTGAGCATTGACAAAATTCCAGCAAGCAGGGAGCTAGAGATTTTCTGATGAGTAGTCAGCCATTGAATATACACACACACACCTGCTGTCACAATTAAAACCACAAAACACATGCATTCACACCACACATGCACATATTTCTAAGTTTAAGACTGTTGAGAATGCAATTCCAGTGGAGCTGTCTCCAACTAAATCTGGATATCCTCCAGATACTGGGATCCAGATTTAATTTTATGAATGTTTTAAATGTTATGTTTGAAAATATTGAAAGAAGTATGCACATTTCAACCACCTTTAAAACAATACTGATGATATCATTGGTGTTGCTTCATTTCCCCTTAAATTGATGCTATGGACTCATCAGATTTACAGGATTATTGTTACTGTCCCCAGTAAGATATGTGTATTGAATTGATATTACACAAGAAGGTATTCATTTATGCTGCAGCACAGCAAAGTAAAACTGTGTGCACTTTCAAAGCAAGTATGTTTGATGACACTTATTATAGAGGACAAATGCAGGCATCAACAACTGCACATTGTGAGGGTCAAGTTGCTTAGAAAACCTTTTAATCTGGCAACAGTTTTTCCTGGATTCAACTGGGAGAGCAGGTTGCAAGCAGTGACAACCGAAGCAACTTTCTCTCTCTACACAGGAGGCTCACCTCCACCTCCACCTCGGCCTCTTTTCCTCTCCAGCTAAGGAGGAGTGGGAAGGAAAATCTGTGCCTTTCAAAACTGAGCCCCCAAATTCAAAATATACATACACATACAATGCATAGTATCTTCCAGGTGTGATTCTCAACCTGTGGCCCATCCCTCATAATGCATCAGTGAAAAATGACCAAGAAAGCACAAACCTCTCTTCGGTTTAAATTCCCTGCGCTCACACCTCAACTGTGCCATTTTTGGGGGCCACCAACCAAAAAGCAGCTGAAAGTCACCCAACTGCTCCAGGCCCACGGGCTCTTGCATGCCTTCAGGCGTCCGTGTCCCAGGAAAGACCTTGTCTTAAAAAAATCGCTTTATCCCCAGAGGGAAAGGGCCCTCCCTGTCCTCCCCGCCATGAAGCATATCCCCCAGCCGCCCTACCTGGCGGTTTAACGGCCAGACCCCTGGGGACCCCCTGGTTCCAATTCAAAAACTGTCACACAGCAACGGCAAGAGGGCGGCCACCAGACACGCACAAGGGAATCGGCCTTAATGTACCGCTGCCTGTCCCTGGCTTGCACCAAGCACAGTCAGTTGGCTTCGGCTCTCGCCATGGCCATTGAGACCCTGCAGAGCACCTGACGCTGGGTAACGTTTCAGACGTGCCCTGCTCTCGGTTCAATGGTTCAACGGCATTTCTGCTCTGGAGGAAGGAGGCCCTGAAAAAGAGGAAGAGGATGGGGAAGGGTGCGGGGAGAGCCTGTGGCGAGGGGCAGAAGCATTTTGCTGACACCAGCGAATTAAGAAGCAAGATGGTAGGTCTAAGCGAAAAACAAACACACTTGCACATGTACACGGAAACTCATAACCGCCCTCATTTCCATTTCCCAGTTATTTAGCACTGTCAGGCAATCTTAAAAGAAGAAGCTTTTCCACACCTATCTCCCAGCAGACAAACTCATCCAGTTTGACAAGTCACTGTAACCCATTTGATTTCATACTCAAGATACAAAACCTGCTGAGAAAAAAAGACCATACAAAAAAAAGCAGCCTGCAAAATCTACAATATCTTTGAAACACCAAGCAAATACCAATGCAAAAGCAACTCATGGAAAACAGAAGCATTTCTTACTTCTCTGATTATTTGACTTGGACCGTGGAAGCAAGAAAATCCAAATATAATGAAATAAGATCTATTTTAAACTTCATTTGCCTGCAAGGCAAGATATTCATTTTTTCACTGCTGGTCCCTTCCTCAGCCTCTACGTGGCAGCAGAACATAGCAATATTCCCTCAAGCGTTGATTTTAAAAATCCCCACTTAGAGGGGAATGAATGGAGGTACAAAGGAGAACAGGAGGGGAGTACGCAGCTTTACCTGCGTACCTGCCAGGTCAAGCAGCACTGGAACTCACTACAGCCCGATCCTGCCCCTTTCCCACTGGGCAAATGGACAAAGCAAATGAACTTTGTATTCCATGTGGTATCATAGAGCAGCTATCTGCATCACTCTCTACACATTAGCAAAGAGATTTGCCAGGCCAAGGTTAGGCTGCTAAGACTAGACAAAGCACATGCAAGGAAAAAGCAGAGGCAATGATCATTGCTACAGTGTGTAGGCAAAGTAGCTATTCTTAAGCCATTATCCCGGCTCTCCAAAGGGAGGGTTCGGTCTCTCCCATGTTTGTGTACATAAACAGTGCAGAGTTCATTGACTTCAATGTCATAGAGGACGCTGGCACTCTTATGCTTCCCATTTTACACACAGCAATCTGAAATTTTCCCTGTGACCATCAGGTAAATGTGGAAAATCAAGCACACCTAAGAATACAGCCTTACACTGTTCACAAGGAGGTCAGACACATCCTTCTTTGGATTTGTCACATCAGTCAAATCCTGATTTCAGTCCATTTACATTTTCGTTACACATACCAGCTCATCTATTCCACCACACAGAAAAACACTGCGCAGAGATTTACTGTTGTTACTATTTTAGCCAGCGAGGACCCACTATTAATTTCAGGATCTAATTCAAAATGCCATTGCTTTTCAAGAGCTATTTAGCACTTATCTCCCTGTCACTCCAAGCAGATGACACAACTGTGCCCCTTTTTGGCAAGCTTCCACCATCTCTTGCCCTCTATGTCTTCAAGTTCCAACTTAAACTTCACCTCCCTTCCTCTTATAATTTTAACTACGTAACAGGATTGCTTAATTCTGCAGCTTTTTGCAGATGAAAAAGCTACACAAAGAATGTAGGCAGAAGTAATAACAGGAAAATCAGTGTTGGATGAGGAAATACCACCGCATTGGTGAAATTAGGTTTTATGTAAAAGCATTTCTCTGCTTTAAGTAAATCTGAGTCTGCCAACATAAGGACCTTAATTTTTTACTGGCTTACACCTGTTTTGATCTCAAGCACTCACTCAAAATGAGTATTTAAAAAAAATTCAAATTCGGCAGTTTCTCACGCTTGCTTTCTAAATGACTGCTCAAGATGCAAAACAGGGGAGAATAGAGCTCTTATCTGAAGTTTTAAATAGTTCACTTCCGACTTGTTTTGGTTAAGCAGATGAAAAAGAGAGAACATGATGATATCCTGTATTTGCAAAATGCTGTTATTCAGTGGATACCCAGAAAACTATCAGATGTCCTTAAAATAGCTTTTCCAGTCCATAAAACATAATGATGAGTTTCAGTTTCCAGCTGTTGCGTTTGTGGTGCAAAAAGAAACCTAATCAAAATATGCCTGTGCCTCCCCTTATTTTCAAGAAACACCACATTTGGAAGATTAAATCTCTGGTTCATTCTCTATTTATTTCCTTGTATAGTTTATGCCACACATCCAAGAACCAGTTTCAGAGCCCATTAGTGAGTAATCGACACTTTCTTATTGCCTTCTACACCCTTGAAGGAGTCTCTGAAACAAGAGACATCAGACACAGACCAGAATAATGTCTCCAATGTGTTTTCTTTTCTGAAAGAACTTTAGATTCTGCATACAACTGAAACGCTCCGATTGGCTGCCAGTGATGTCACGACTGTGCTTATAATACCCAGTAAATGCAGAAAGCTAATTGTGTTCCTTTTTAATGTGTAAATTGTACTCCATAATAGCAATAAGACACAACAGACAATGAACTTCAAGGGGATTACTGCCCTTTTGAGTGATTAAAGCTATTCAGCTTTCAGCTTTAGAAACAGTGGTGAGGAAGTAATTTCAGTCATACAGGAGCTCTAGGCCCATCTATTGAAACAGGCTGACTGCCTGGGGGAAGAGGAAGCCAGCTACCCCCACGCACACCCCCAAATGGGGTCCAGCAAGGACCTTGTAGCAGACTGAAGGCGATCATTATACTGCTCTGAATTAGTACAAAATGAGAGATAGGGTTTTGAAGCATACTCTGCTGTTGGTTTCTAAACCCCGCATGGGTGAGGCTTGAGTGTCCCTTCACAAAGCAAAAAGACAGGTGACAGCTCACTCTCTTATTTCTGGACCCCCACTATGGTTCTCTTGTACTGTTATAACAACGGTCCTAGTGAACGATAGGTTAGGACACAAGGAACTAGACTACAATGCAGGAAATATGGGCCAGTTAGTCCAAGACTAACAAACGACTTTAGGTGAGTCACTAAATCCACCTTATGCCATACATTCCCTAGCAGTAAGAGGAGGATAACACCATTCTACCTTTGGGGCAACACTAATGCCCCCAGCGTAATGGGGATGTGAGCCACTAGAATAAAGAGGTCTTATGCCTCCTGATATTTAAAAGAAATTTTTTAATTTCGTCCTACTGATAAAGATATCAGACTTGACATACACAGCCTCACTTCACACCACAAGCTGGTCTCCTCCCAACCTGGCTGAAACCCCAGTCCAGTCCCACTGAACAGTAAGGCTGACTTACCCAGAGGAAGTAGCACTGTGACTAATAAGAAACACACTGAGAGCTTTCTGTCCAGCTCCACCCCCCAGTAAAACTGTTTCTTTCTGTTATTTGTTTCCTCCTATTTTTTTTTTCACCAATTTCCACCCCCCCTTTGCATCTTCTTCTCTACGGTTATTTTACTGTGCTTGTTGCCTGTCTTTATGACAAATTCAGATCTTGAGAGAAGAAAGTCAACCTCATGTGGATTTAATCCCCTTATATTACATATGAACTTGCCCTGTATTGATGTGGCTGTTGTATCAGATGGTCTTCCACACTATTCCTCTTCCTTTCTGCCATTTCTCTGTACATTTCCACAAGGTCACTGGCATAAGCACACCAGTACTATTCTTCATCTGCCTAAATAAATGTTGTTGTTCCCCCTTTTTTCACTTCTCTTTCATTCTCACACATACATCCTCTACTCTCTTCACTTCTCTCTTTTCCTCTCCCTCTCCTTCGCACCCACAGAATTTCCATTTGACCAGTCCTGTCCTCACCCCACTCATGCCTACAGAAGGCTTCTTTTGATTTTACACTTAGCAACTTCCTATATTACATTTCTATTCTGAAATCTCACTGAGAAAACCAGTATCATCTTGTTTTTTATATTGCCTACCTAGTGGCATTCGCCCTTTCACTTTTCTGGAATTCAGGGCAATTAGACCTTTTCCATCCTCTTCACATTTTAGTGCAGGTCCAGTAGCATCTCTGTAGTCATTCTTCTCAGCAAAAGCATGGAATCTGTAATACAAAATGAGTTTTCACCAGTATGTAAACTACATAAATACTTTCCTAATTTTAATGAGATGTACGTCACACATGCAAGATTATAGTGGTGTACAACTTCGGAATTATTTGCTCATCTATTCAAGATATCTAAACCTTCAACTACAACAACACTATGAATATTACCAAACCTTTTGTATACATTTATGTACATTCTGAAGTCTTCTCATGAAGAACATCCTTTCATTTTGGTATCTTTTACTCTGAGGCACCTTCCTTTTCAATCTCCTGGAAATCTATTTTTAATTAATCTTTTAACATGCTGAGCAAGCATGTCATTTGAGATCTCTTAGATGACACTAACACCTTTTTATCAGATTATTCTCCCAGATGAAAGCCCAACAGGAATATTTATTTCATTATCAACATACAAATCAGGAAGTCAAGCAGACTTCATTTACCCTCACTGTCAAAACAGAAAAGCTCTCAGAGCAGGAAAAAGATGCATTCCTAAAACAGAACTACACTAGCAACAGGCTCAAGCCATGAAAAGCCCATGAACTTGGCCATTCCTATGGGAAAGCTGACTTAAACTTACAGACAGTTATTGGGCAAATACTGACCAGCAAGATATTAATTGGCCCAATAAGTCTCTACACCAAAGCCAGACTCATGTAAAAAGAAGATAGTGAGAATCATATCAAACAAAACAATTCCTCTTAGCTCCCTGCCACAACCCTTCTTGCTTCTCTCTACCATACAAGAAACATTCACTTTCCTTTTATAAAGGACGTAAAAACACTGCCAAAAGAAAATGAAGGATGGTGACTGGCAATGTACCTGGTATCATGGAGGTACCATGGTTCTAAATGACCACAACCATTTTAGACGCACATCAGACCAGAGCAAACATAACACTTTCCCACAGTCTCGTTTTTTGGCAGATGCTCCATCTCTTAAAAGCTACTTCTAAACACAGATGGCTATAAAAGAGCTAAGCAGCTGCCATCTTACCAATTGCTCTGCTGTCATTTGGGAGATTTCTACTGTTGGAGGACTTCCCACTCTTGCACAAACAACAGTGAAACAGAAGGAGCTAGCAGCCATTTCACAGCTCTGTAACTGTACAGTGACTTCTGTTAAGCAGACAAACACCTACTGACTCCTACTGCCCTCCTGCTGTTCAGCATGAGTTTGGTATTGAGGGGTTTTGTGTTTGTTTGTTTGTTTTCCTTATTTTGATATCAGAATCAAGATTAAAGTTTTATTACCCCTTTCTACCGAAGGCTGATTGTCACCACACGGCTGATTCCCAGGATAAAGTAGCCAACAAGCCATGTGGAATATATGTATGTTTCCACCAACCATACCAAATAGATGCTAGAGAGCATGGTACAGAATTGCATTTCCACACAACCAGGCCTGGTGGATAACACCACATCAATTTTCTGTTGTTTCAGGAACTGCCCATTTAGGACAGGCATTACCTTTTCAGTACATGTCTGTATGGCACTTGATCTAACAAAACTCTAGATTCTTTGCTGGTGCCTGTGGATATTACCAGAATACAAAGCAATACAATAAAAACTTGTTTCAGTTTATGTTGTGGCCCTTTCCCTTGAACAATTTTTCAGACTTCAAAAGAGGAGCAGATAACAGACGATTTAGGATATAAAAAAGGAATGGCCTTTCTGCAAGCCAGTAAGCGCGTATGTGGAGAGAAGCTGGTCTGTTTGAGTAGGCCCTGCATTTTAGTCATGTCTCTTAGACGATTTCCCCAGTTTCCCCAGATCACTTACTAAACTGCTTTGACTCATTCTCCTCATGAGTAAAATGGATTATATTCAGATATCTTCAAATACCATTCCTAGCATACTGAAATCATTACTGTGCTTCTTCTTCGTCATACCTGCCAGAAGCCAAGCAGCTCAACTCTTTCAGAAAAATAATAGTTTCATCTTCCCTAGCATTGAAAGATACAGTGTTGACTGGACAGGGCCCATCAGAAACCTTCTCAAGGAGTAGCTGCTTTGTGTCCACTGGAACATCACCCACAGCAAAGTAATAAACAGCTTCAACCTGTCATTAAACAGAAAAAAAAATGGGAATTGGAAGACCCAGTCCTTGGACAACGCCTTGTTCCTATTCCTTTTGCTGAAGAGGCTCCTGACCTGGGGGATTGCATGCATATTGTACAACCACTTTTCCCTGTGTTCCTTCAGATTCACATCTTCTCCCCCTCCCTCCTAAGACTGCCAATAATTCATAAACTTGATATTCAATAAGGATTATCAATTTTCACACTTCCTCCAAAGGATTTACTGCCTGCCTCTGCAACTTTTAAAATGCTGACATTTCTTGGGCATAGCTGATGCAGAACCAACTCCTCAGAAGAAAATAAGCAAAATTGCTAACCACAGACAATTCACTCTACTTAACTACAAACCCAGCAATATCATACCACAAAGGAAATGTTCCTTACAGATTAGTGGGGAAAGGTTAAAATCTTTCCATTTAGTCCTTCATATTTTGAAAACTATAATCTATGCAGCCATCTAAACAAGCAAACAAACTTCATACAAGAACAGGAAAGAGAACAACATGAACAGTTCCTCATAGTCTTTACCTTGGTGGGGAGGTGTATTTTGGATGAGTAACCCACACGTTGTGGAGTGGCACCTGTACAGAATCGCAGGTTAAACACTGCAGATGCATCTGTGGCAGGTAGAGCTCAAAGGATTGCAACCTTACAGCAGAGTGATCTTGAGCTTGAGACTGACAGGTCATGAGGAAAGGAAATCTAGGGAGTCACCACACATGGGAGGAAAAGCTCAGCTAAAGGAATGACAGAAAGAGCCAAGTCTAGGGAAAAAAAGAGCTATTGTTTTGGAGCAACCTCTGTTGATGAAGCCAGTTCTGAGGAATGAGTCATTTACCACTATTCAGTGAGTATGCAGCTTTTGCCTAGGACTGAATGGGGTCTCCCTCAGCCTGCAGTACAGTGAAGCTTGCACTCAAGTGAACTGTCAGTTATGAATGATAACGACTGTATTTAGGCGTAATTGAAGTTTGTTTTATGTTGAGCATCTGCCACAACTGACTCCCCTAGATTACCCATTAGCCCACCAATATCCAGAAAAAAATACTAGATATCTCACTGTTGAATGGATTTTAATTTCTGCTTATTCGTATACAGACACAACAGATCCAACAAGCCTTTTTTTTCATCCAGACAATACTGAAACCATATACAGGAAATCAGTAATATACTGCAAATTGAAAACGTTAATAAAATTTATGATGGAGGCATTTAAAAAAGCAGTCATAAAAAATCTCACTGTTGCACATTTTGTTCCTCACCCAGTTCATTTTCAATATCAGTTTCCAAACATCAAGGTTCATCTGGATGAGAATTCACCAGCACAGGGAACCAGAAGGAAACTCAAGACAAATTTACCTTCTCCTTCAAACAATGTCTCAGAATGAGATTTATAAAGGAGTTAGGATTGGATCTGTGCACAGGGATGGATCTTAATGGCAGTGAAAACCAATGATTCTAGTCCACACACAGTAGGCCCAATTTTCCATTAAATTTGGGTGCTAGGGAACTGAAACAATATTCATTGTAAGCAAATTTCATAAAATATCTCTTTAACAATGCAAGTTTTAAGTGACTAGCTCAAATGATGGCATATATGTTTTACGTCTTATGACTCTACTATAATGAATAAAGTAATATGGTACTTTTAGAAACAGACAGAATTTAATTGCAGCAATACCTGTGCACGCTTTGTCTTGGAAGAAACTCTAGCTATAACCTGGCTGATGAAAAAGGATTTGCATATCCCTACCATGAGTTAATGCTTAAATCAATCTCTGTACTTACTATTTTGGATTTTAAATATAATTTTTCATGAGCACTTTGAATACATAATAAAAATAAAAATGGTTTCCCTGTCTTTGATAATGTTGATACTAGCAATTTTCTCATAAACTTGAAGTCCCGAAAAACATATATGGCAAAGAAAGTGGAAGGGAAGATGTCTTCTCTTCCCCTTAATGACTGAATATGTTATTTATTCTGTGTACCCCAGAAAAGAAAATAAACAAGTTTCTGCGTTCAAAAAACAGTACATTTACATAAACAGGCCATCAGTAAACATAGTACGTAGCTGCACTTGGGGAAAAAAAAACTTTCCAAATGCCGTCATGAATATTTATCTTTGCAATATTCATCAGGGCAAAATCACAGTAGCTAGTCTGCCACTGAATATTCTTGGATTTACTTGAGGCTTCTGAAAAGATGTATGAGCTTACCGCCTCATCACTCATGGCTTCCAGCAGGGCTTCAGCAGAGCTGGTATGGCTGGCAGCTGTCATATGGTCCAGCTTCCAGAGCCACGTAACAGCAGACTTTACAGTATGCTCAGACACAGGAGTAGATTTCTGTTGCCACTTCATAAGATCCTGAGCAGCCCTGAAAAATACATTAACTATAAATCAGAAGTAGTAAGAATAATGCCTGCAGAGCAAAAGAGTGGAGCTCTGCTGTTGTTACTATTCTTTTATATTCTTAAGTAATAATTACAATAAACCACAGATACTAAATCTAAACTTGCAATAAAAGAAGTAGAGGAAAAATAAAACCCTTACAAAAATACTGTGATTTTTATAAGAATTTTTTTTGAGACAACAGTTTCCAAAGTAGGGTCAAGAGAGCTAAAGTACTTTAAAAACAGTTCCTAATTCATATCTCCCCTTAACACAAAAACATAATCAGGTTTTTAAAATATGTGTATGAAGAGAAACTCTGGCTTCCACAGGTCTCTTTCCACAACTTGCTGCATGACCTTTTTGTCAGACCATTTTAACTGACATGCTTTTTTTGTAGTGGGGCTGATCTTTATATACCCATCAAAATAAAATTTGTGATGCTAAGCTTTTTGGTATTTTAATTGATCAAAGGTCTTAGTCTAATGGCAGTACAGAAGTACAAAGTATATGAACATGTATGCCTGTGCATTTGTACATAAAAAGACAGAAAGCAAATAAAAAAATAACTGGTTCCAGTATCAGTGACATTCCATCAAGCACTATTTCGAAGAGTTTCCTGCAAATCTAAAAGACAAGTATGTTTTCCAAGATTCTTTTGAAGTAATAATTTATATGCTATATTGTCCATTGTCTCCCTCCTGTGCAAACAAACAAATCAATGAACACAATTATTGTTCCTCAATTTTGACTTGGCTTTGCAGATCATTTTTAAAGAAAATCCTTTATGTGCTTCTCAGAAGCTATGGACGTTATCTTGTACTTTTCAAATCTCAGTTGTATCACAAGCTAGAGAATTAAGATAGGGCACCAGAATCAAATCTGCAGGACAAAACTTGGGTAAAACAACTTTAAGAATCACCGTGTAGTTGCAAGTTATCATTGTGGAACCAATCTCAAAATTATATGACCTAATTTGTGCATCGTTTTTTTCATAGCGACAAAATTCATCTATCCAAACCCAAGCTTACACATTCAAACCTTTATGCATATATGAGAATTTGTGCAGAGATACATAAATTTGAATAGCTGCTTCTATTCTTCTATTTGTAACTAAACCCAAATTCATTTACTCATGTTAGGGAACAAGCACTTGTCTTTTGTTATGGAAATCTAGTATTGTTTCCTAGTTCTGCTACGCATTTCTGTGACCATGGAAATCTATAGAAATACAAATTACTATGCCTGTGCCTATGGCACTTGGGGCAGTATACATTAGCTGTAAGGCAGAAACCTGTAATGTCTAAAGACACAAGAATGCCTAGGCAGTCAGATGGGACCTCACTGTTTCACTCTGTAATACTTAGATGCCTGAAGAGCATGACTGCTATTGTAAAGTCCCCCTTATCTTTCTGTTTTTCTGTGCTACATTTGTAGAAGGCATATATCAGTATTTGGGTTCTGTTAGTCTTTATCTGTTCTTCAGGGTAACAATGGCCTTCTGTTAAATGGAAGTAGCAAGCTCAGCATGACTGTGAGTGAAACTTGGTGGAAAATCTATAGATACTACCATGATATGAATCAGGACAATTTCCACTACAGAAAGCATATTATCCAAACACATGTCTATATGATATGAGATTCCTTTTTATTCTCCATCAATGGGCAGACATGGACTTCTTTGTTTAGCCTGGAGAAGAGAAGGCTCCAGGGAGACCTTATTGTGGCCTTTCAATACTTAAAGGGGGCTTATAAGAAAGATGGGGACAGACTTTTTAGCAGGGCCTGTTGTGACAGGACAAGGGGGAATGGTTTTAAACTAAAGCAGGGTAGACCCAGACTAGATATAAGGAAGAAATTCTTTACGATGAGGGTGGTGAAACACTGGAAGAGGTTGCCCGGAGAGATGCCCCATCCCTAGAAACATTCAAGGTCAGGCTGGATGGGGCTCTGAGCAACCTGATCTAGTTGAAGATGTCCCTGCTTATTGCAGAGGGGTTGGACTAGATGGCCTTTAACGGTCCCTTTGAACCCAAACCATTCTATGATTCTATGATTCTTTCTGCTTACCGAATGAGGTTGAATTTGGCAATTTGGGTCACCTGTTCCACAAGTACCATAGAAAGTGCATCCCGACATAGATCAAATTCAGTTGGAGCCGCAGTGCCAAAATCCAAAACAATGACAATGCACCGTTCTTGAATCACTCCAAATATCTGCCGGCTCTCACTGGTTAACCATTCCATTCGCTGCTTATATAGCTCAATAGCTCCCATTAGACAATCCACAAAATGAAGAATCAGTTCTTTTTTAGCTGTCAGCTTTATTTAAATAAGGAGAGAAAGAAATTGAACATCAAAACAAATAATACAAACGCAGCCTCAAGCTTAGCACAGCTGCAATAGCTGGTTTGCAAGTGCCAGATATGCCAGCCAAGGTAGCAGTGAAAACAACCCATTTTTCTTCCACTATTTCAAGAGCAAATACTTCACAAATGCATCTAAGCTGTAATAGAAAAGACACTGCATTTTGTCCTAATTGCTTTTCATAATCTTTTTATGCAAGCATGGGACAGTGCCAGTGGGTTGTCTGACTTGTCTGTCTCAAGACTGGAGCAATTAGAATGAGCTGAACACAGGCTATGGTATAGAAAGGGCTGCAGAGCAGATGGGTGAACAAACGAGGACACAGAAACTTTGTACCTTCTTAGACTAGAATTTTGACTGGCTCTTAAAATTTTGTACAGCCATACAAGGGAGAGTAAGGTTTGGTTCTGGGGCACTTCAATCTCCACTTTGTCTTTAGCATTTGAAAGGAAAATGTAAAATCTTTCCTGTTTGTACTATTATTTCACTAACAATGCCCAGTATTACAGCTTAACTATTTGTGTGTAGGTGCTTAGGCAAATTTAGTTCAAGCAACTGCAATCAACAACTAAAACTTGCCATACCATGACAGTAAAATAAGAAAAACCCAGATTCAGTATTAAAATGAAAAACATCAGACCCTCCGTATGAATATATGTATACACGTTCACCGCGCAAAATGATTTGTGCATTTAAAAATTCACCGCAGGTTCCAGTAAAGACATTCCCCCAATACCTCTGACCCATGTAAGCTAATTTACCAGCTACCTTCTACCTCCAACTACCTTCCCAGGACTAAGTATAAAACCTTGGAGATATACAAATATTTTTAAACAGGAACATTTCTCAGGGAGGAGATATTTTGTGTGTCAGTCTGCACACTTCTTCCTCTCATTTGTATTTTTCTCTGTTCTTTAATGTCAGCTAGGGCCCTGTAATGTGCCTCCCAGATACAGAGTCTCAGGCTGTCTGCCACAGGAATGTAGGCCTGGGAAGGAGCACTTAGAAAATTCAGTTTCCTCCCATGACACCCAGGCTCACACAAAGAAGTTTATTGCACTATACTGATCAAACTCCATCTCAAAGCAGTTTTCTTGCATCACCCCTTCACTTGTAGTGGCCAGTCCAGATTCCCATTTCTCTGAGGGCTGGAAAACTTCTGACTGTCCAGCCTAAATTTATGCATGGCAGTTCACACCCATTTATTCTTGGACTAGCATGCCTTTTAGCATAGAAAACTATAGCTTCTCCCTACCCCTGTAATTTGCCTTTCTGTAGGCATTCAAGGGCAATAATGCTACCCTTTGTCAGTCTTCTTCAGTCCTACATACGTCAACATCAACCAAGCCCTCTTATAAGATCAGCACTCCATTGCAGTTCACCCTACTAGCTCTTCCCAGTACCTGTTCTGGTTTGAATTGCTTCTTCTCAACCTGTGGCAACTGTACACAATATTGTACACAATATCCTAAATGAGATCTCACCAGACCTTAATGCTACCAGAAATGTCTTTCCTACTGCTCCCAGCATGTCCTAAGACATTATGTAGATATTTCATATGGAATTAATGGGAAAAAAAAGAGGGGAAAAGGCTCCCTGAAATGGTTCTTCTCCCATATTTAAGCCTTGTGCCTCAGAAGTGACTCTAGTTATCAGAAAAAATGACATGCCATTTGCTTTTGTAAAATCCTTTATGAATTAACTCTCTCCCCTCCTCGCTCACATGTGTATCTTTTCAATCAGAATCCATCCTCTCAACAATAGGGCCGCCAGCAGCTGTTGCTAAGACATTCCTTAGAACATGAGCCTGGGCAGAGATCCAGCTAGCTGTCTCTATAGAGTAGGCTGAGCCTTTTGTGACCCGCTGGCACTAAGCAAAGCAGCGCTTTGCATCAGCAATGACAGCACATTATGTCTTCTTATTTCAGCATGCCCATTTGTTTTATTGACTACGATTTTATTTTTTTTAACTCAGCTGAGCATCTTCTTTTTAAGTGTTCCCTCTTTCAAGACAGGGTAAATGTTGCTTAGAAACTGCAGTCTTGTCTGGAAAGATTTACTGCAATGCTGCACCAAGGCAAGAGCGTAAGACTTTGCAAGGAAAAAAAGATATCTAGCTTCTCTACCACTGATTGTTATCACTAACCATTTGACAAAACAGAAAAAAAATGATCAAAAGACAAAGTTCTCACAAAGAATATAATTATTTCATGCCATAGGGAGACATTTTAGTCACATCATTCTGCTACAGTGATAATAACGTCTAAGCTCACAGAGAACTTACCAGAAGTCAGTCACACTTACATTATACACGCTGCCATCTTGTGCTCTCTTGTATTGAAGAAACAGACCATCTGCATACCGAGAAGCCACAGGTTTCCTCAAGGTGGTCACATAATCTACAGTAAAGGTTACAAAAGATCAAGTTGCTAATCATAAGGATTACTTCAAACAGATATTTTTCAGGTTGATGTGCATACCATCCATGTGTGAGCCACAGGCATCTGTATTGAACTCTTGACGTTAAGAAACTTGAGAGAAATTCTAATTATGTTTTTGTTTTACAATTTTTCTGGCTATGTCTATGTTGGGGCCCTGAGGGCACCAACAGGCCTTGATTGCCCTAATCAGCCTCACCTGGGGTTTCCACTCACAGGGCGCTCAGGCCTGGGCACCCAGTCTTTGCTTCAGCTGTGTTGTAGGTCTACCTGTGTCAAGTTCTGCTAGCAGACCTCTCTACTGCATAGACCTCTGACATGTATATTACAGCCTTGTCTCCAGTTCTGTCTCCTGGATGTGGCTCTTAGACCTATGTTGTGGCCTCGTCTCCAGTCTTGTTTCTGGCTCCATCTCCTGCTGCTCCTGGCTGCACTCCCTGACTGGACCCTAGACATGGTTCATCACCTCACCCTGTCTGGGACTGTCTGTGGACACAGTTAGCAGCACCCTGCTCTGCCTGCGGTGCTTAGATGCTGCAGAACTGCATCTTGGTCAATAAGGGCACTGCCTGAGCTGCAGTCCCCTTTGGCTCCTGGCTCATTTCCCCCCCATGGAGCAGCCCTGCTCTTGCTGCTTTCTGCCAGTTTAGTCAGAAGTGGGGGAAAACCCCACATTTAATTATTTATAGGCCAAAAAGCTACATGGGACTTTAATAAATGAAAGGTTTAGGCAACTAAACTTCCGTATTATCCATTTACCTCACGACAGGACTTGCAAATATTTGTCCATCAAACAAAATACAAAATCTAGTACAGATAATGCTGTTCTCTTACACAACTAAATGGGTGCAGAAGTGGGTGCAACTAAGGAAACGGTTGCACTCTGCTCTTTCAGTAGCTAGAAATCTTCTACAGGATCTCCACTGATAGGAAAATATTAGGGGTGGGAATCTTTAACGTCACAAAGCAGCTATTCTGTATAGCATGCTGCCCTGCTAAGCTAGTACGTTCTGCTCCTAAAATTACACTGTAACAACATTAACCCTGCTTAACAGCTTCTTCTTCATCTACAGCACACAGAATTTCAGGATCCGCACTGTTGATCTTTGAATGCCCCCCGGACACAAGCCAGCCAAAATCTTAAATTATGCAACCTAGAACAATTGCAATACATTACAATTGTCGGGCGGCAAGCTCTTCAAAGAAAAGAGTATCTTACCATGCTCTGCAGAGCACTATTATGACAGTAATTAATAATTATTAGCAAACTTTTCCCCTCCAGCTGTCAGATAACTGCAAAGGAACATTTTTGTATAGCCTGACTTGACACGAAAAGCAGCCTCAATTCTAATCAAATTTAACTGCTTCCGTAAAGCCGGATCCCTGGAAATAATATACTATTCCCAAGTAGGTTGGCTAGCCCTGATGATCACGGATTATGGCACAGCATACATTATATTCGCCATCTAAAAATGGACAGAGATCTTATGGTGTGTTATCTACAGCTGAATTGGAGAGGATTTGAACTGGAGCCTTGGGTAAAGCAACAGTACTGTTGAGTAAGGAAAGCCCTTCTCACATCCTAAGTCCTTCTCACATCAAAAGGAGATGGAGTTCCTCAGTTCTCTGAACTGGCAGTGTCAGCAACTGTGGATACAGCTTCACTTTCTGCCATTATCATAAGATAAGAGACAACATGAAAATCTCCTCTGTGTACACTGGGGTGCAAAATGAGCTATGACTATTCAAAGTCGGGGTTTTTTTAATTATTCTATTATTGATTTGTCTTATACCTTTCCTGTGCTGGAATCCAATCTGTGACAAAATCTGGGATAGGGACAATTTGTTTCTTTTGAGCCCATGAAGTTGAAGCCATTTAGAAGATGAAATGAGGGGTTGTACATCCATGTCCCACTGACTGACTGCCAGTCTCCTTTCCTTCTCTTTTGACTTCTTCTTGTGGGCCTCGTGGGAATCTTTGGGATCTTGTCTGTGCTTTGAATCAAAGGCATCTGCTGTAAAGAGAAATGAGGGAAACACAACATTTATACTTTAACCAAACAATTCACTTGAATTGTCTCCTTTCTTTGCCTGTATTCTGTGGTACTCTGTACAAATATATCTCGCCTCTTGTTTTCTTTTGTTATACCGAACAATGTTCTTAATCTGGAAAGCTGCTCAGTCTACACATCTACTTGCTGTTATGTCTTTTTATTCATCCATATACATTTACCTTCCATTTATTAAAGAAAATGTCTCTTGTATGCTGAAATTCAAGCCCTGTAAGCTAAGTCCAGTTTGTCAAATGCTAATTCTTCCAGCTCCTAAGACATCTGTCCTAAACCTTGGGAATCAGAACTCGTAATAGGCATACAAGGATTGTCAGACCATCACTACATACACATTAGAAGCATTATGCAATAAACAAGGATTTCTTAACAATTGTATGTTGAACTCCTACCATAAGCAATAGCAGTACCAACAGCAGATCCTGACTTTATTGCAAGGCTGGTGAAACCCCCTCTCCTCAGTTCGTTTATCTCAAGTGTAAATGATGGTTCTGGCAGTATCTGCTCCAGGCTGTGATGGATCGTGTGCACGCACAGGAAATCATGGACATGAAGGTCCAGTTTCATTTTAAGTTCTACAGAACAACTAATGTATTTCAGCACTGGTGTATAGTTGGCTGGGCTAGCTCCATTTGAAACTGGCAGCAGAAACAGCCCAGAGCCTAGAGTGGTTGAGGCAGAAATGGAAGCAATGACTACAGTTATGCCTCTGTTCCTCAGCACAGAGGTTCTAGGAGGACTTTGGTATTTCCTGTTCATTCCCAAAATACTCTGCATGAGCTAAGCTGGGCTCTAGTTGATTAAATATCCTTGCTGTATCTAAGTTTATTTTCTGTGGACTTTTGATATTTCTGTCCATTTTCCCCAGCATCAACATTATCTGGACTATCCCAGTCCCCCATTGCCCATATACTATAAGCTGCCTGTAAATGTACTGTGTGGATCAAACCGGTCCAAAACACAAAGAAGGGTACTTCTATCTTTAATGACTAAAAAATAACCTTCAGTCTAGTATGGAATACATAGTCCGAGAGGAAGAAGTTAACG